CAATTCAGTTTGTTTATATAATTCACAACACGTGTCATCTCAAAGCACTTTACAATTTACGACTTTACGACCATCTGGTCAGCTGGTTTTCACCAGGTTGTTCGGTAGGAGGAACACCTCTGATTTAGTTGCTTAGCAGAGTGGAGCAAATATATGTCAGCTTAAAATGGTTCCAGCCTAACTACCTGGTTCAAACAGTCTAAAATAATCCGTCAAGCAAGAACTGATTTCATTTCTATGTAGTAAACCTGTAGAGGCAAGTATCATTCTGACTGAATGATTCTCCAATATGTTTACTAGATATCAGATTTGGATTTTTGGAGGATATTGTTTAAAGAAATTAGGAAAAATGTACTTGTAGTAGAACTAATGAAGCAGAAAGAATCTGCTTTGATTTTATCTTTGCAGACTCTTTTCATGCGAAAAAACTTCGCAAACAAGAATTGGGATCTCTGTTCCCATGCATAGAGATGTCTGTGGCATGCACTCACTTAACATAGACCTACGTAATACTACAATAACATGATATTTACAGTTGATTTATTAAAAAATGCTTTTCAGTAAAAGTCAACAGCAATAACTCCAATAACAAACGATAATTTCATTCAAAATGTATTTATTAAAAATGCTTAACAATTCCTGTAATGAATGAATAGCACAATAAAAGAAATAATGTCTCATCTAAACATCCCTCACTTAACAATAAAAGTTAACAATAACTCTCAACTCTCAATAACAGATGATACTTAGACTCAGCAATGAACGAGATAATGTCTGTTCTGTAGGCTATTGGTAAAAATAAATTAACAAATGAGCTAATTAACAAAAAATACCTCTTGTGTAGCAAAAATCATTCAAAATGTACCAAAAACGAACAAACATATCAATAGACTATCTTTACTTTCGGAGTCCAGATGGCTTTTCAGATCCCTTGCACCTTCATTGGACACGAGACATATGTGCACAAGGCCTCCCATTTGTCTCGACCCGGTCTGAAAGCGGGGAAACTCTTTTGTAAATCGTCGGTAAACATACATGTGCGCTTTTGCATGTTGTTGGCGTACTGACAGGCACACAATCTATATTCTGATTAAGAACAGGGCTGCTTTTTTTTTTGTATTAAGGGACAGCACATCAGAGGGGGAGATATAAAGACTTGCACAAGAGTTACACAATAATTGAACCAGACAAGAAAAAAACATTAAAAGGAAAAATTATTTGAAACAGTCAATAAAGTCAATAAAATACAAATGACAAGTGTTAAATTAAAAAAATAAAAAAAGTTATTAAAGCTACAGTGTGTAATAATTACAGGGATATACAGTCAGAAATGTAATATATTATACATAACTATGTTATTTTATCATCATCTACGAGCTCAGCCTCTTAACCTTAATATTTGCGTTGCCTTAGAATTCGTTATTTATAATTACATAGGAGCGGGTCTCGCAGCCATGGAGGCAGACATCTTTGCGCTACGGCAGCGCAGAGCCAACAAACTAGTGATTGCGAGATCGCCAAAACGTGACAACGATGTAGAAAAAATAATGGGTACATTTATTATCTTAAGTCTACATGAAATCTATACCCTACACAGACTAATGAAATACTATCTGTAAAATGATCTATGTAAACAAACCTCATCACTTGAGAAGGTAGGTGATGCGGACGTCGTGGAAGACATTTTGTCCCGTAACGCTCGCCGTACTGTTGGGGGGGAGAAGCGGTGGGGGGGAGATGTTCATGTTGCTGCGGTCTGCAGTCTGACCGCTAGATGTCGCTAAAAGTTACACACTGAAACGTGAAACGGGACGCCCGGGACAGGACGTGAAATACAAATATGTCCCGGGAAATACGGACGTTTGGTCACCCTATCATACTCAACTTCACACTCACCCTGTGATGGGGATGAAGTCGGGAGGAGTACTGATGGTTACTCCTGTGAACCCCCTTTTATATCAAAATGCTGCCAATACGCCATTAAACAGTAGCTGTACATTGGAAAAATGTTCAGCAGTCGTCTTGAACAACTCGTAACTTATCCAACATATGCCAGTGTTTTTGCAAGATTTTTTGTACGTCAGGCATTCGCTGACTAAATCGTCAGGTTGTGACAGGGCTTTATAATTGCCGTAATCATGAGTGTAAACTTTTGATGTTTTGATTCCAGTTAGAAGAGAAGTTTGCTAAACAACATCTTCAGTGGAAACAGGAATTGACCGTAGTCTCACTGGTTTCTGGTTAGCTAGAACAATGCAGTGTAATGCCTGTTGAGTAAAACAGATGACACAGATAGACTCTCAGATAACCTTGAACCCTGTCTTTGACGCTGCTCTCATATGGAAGTGAAAATTCATAGGAAAATTACTTTATAGTGTGTATTAGGCTTTTAATCTGCTTGTTTTTTATTTTATTTCATATAGAAATGTAACTCTCCACAAACCTTTTAATGTTAGAGTTTTCCTTGATAAAAGACATACCTAAAGACTATAAAATTCTACTGCTGGTGTTTCAATATTTATTAGCAATCTTAATTTTTTATTTCTTTAGAAATTAGTAACAGCGACATAAGGTACTAGTAAAGGCAAATAACATTTATTTTGGTTTAAATTTCTTTTTCAATTTAAAGTATTTTCATTAATTTCCTGTAAAGAGATTTTTTTTTTTTTTTTAAAGGGTCCGTTCATATTCCTGTAAGCAGGCATTTAATCATGCCGAAACAGTTTGTCACAGCTCTTGTGGTATCCTTTTACCTTCTCTCATAGAGCAATAGCACAGGAAATGTCATCATATTTAAGCATTTACAGTAACTTCTGGTACTGCTTTGTGAGACGATAAGGATAAAGGATGGGAGGTAGACAGGTCAGGTTCCTGTATCTATTCCTATTTCTGCCTCAATATGTTTCACTTTACAGAAACTCAGGTCATATGTTATTGTGGCTGAAAATCAGCCTGCTGCCTTCTATGACAACAATCATTTGAAATAGGTTACAGATTATGTCTTAAATGGCTGTTTTCCCCAAAAAAATGTATGACTGTATCATAAATGCCTTAAAGAAAATGCAGTTTAACCCACAATGTTTTTAGTTGTATTTGGATCTCTGTACAATCTCTTTTGGGCCCCTCAAAATAGAAACTACCAGAGAATGGGAGCATCTGTGTTTTTAGTTCTACTTGTGCTGAGATTTTCTATTAAAATGGTTTAAATTTTATGAGGTTTGCCATATTGACTGTGATGTGCAGTTGGAAGGGATTAGAAGTTGCAGATGCTTTCTCTAACCCCTTAAACATGTTATTATTTAGGTATTTATGTGTTCACTGACTTGTTTCCTTCCATGCTGTAATAGCCCCTTATTTATTTGTTTTTCTTGGTACAATGCACTAGCTGGCAAACACTCTACGTTGGACATTGATTTAACTTTAAAATCAAGTCAAGTTCTTTTAAATAGGGTCCTGACCCCCAAAAAAGAGCAACGGCCCATATCCATGTTTTATATTTTTTACTTACTGGGCAGCAGCACAGCCCCTAACCTTCAAAATCATCTGCGGTTGTTAACTCAGATATGTGCTCCTTTCAGTTTTCAGATTGTAGCAAAAAAGAAAAAATGGTGCAAAGATGTTTTGTGTGATACTGACAGGATACAGGTGTCACCTCATCTGTCATGATCTCTAAACACAACAGCTTCAGAAATCAGCTGTCAACAGTAAGGTTAACAGATCAAAATGCGTTTTGATGAGTGTGAACACTTCGGGCCATTTCCCTTTTGAAGGGTGGTTCCCTGCGGTGAAGTACATTCAAAGTTTAGGTCTTACTAAAAAGTTTTACACTTATTCCAAGTCTCATGCAGCATGTCTAGGTTTTTCTTCCAGGCTCTAAACTTCCCCCATCTATCTTCACAAAGCATCAACATGGGGATGGTTTGTCCCATGTGGACTGAAGCACAAATGCTCGTCCATAAAAAGCATTTTGAATGTAGCCATAAAAGTTAAGATTGGTCCGATCAGCTTTGTGGAGAACATTGACAATACATATCCTCCCACCTGAGCTGCAGCCCCTCCAGAGTAAACATGCGCCTCTTGACTCCCTGTCTAATTAGTTCACCCAAACTTTAATCCTTCATCTTTGGCCTGACTACAATTTTTCTCATTCTCGAAATGCTGTTTTTCCACTAAAGTGTGACAAACTTTTAAGGTATACCATTACATAACAGCTGGATTTATAATGAGCTCACATTTAAAACAGCTGAACTCAATCTGCTAGTAAGGTGACATCTGAAGGCATTAGGTTGTGTTGGAGTTAAGGACTGTGAATACAAAACAACACAGCCCTTTTCATAACTTTATTTTCAAAAACAAATTGATAAATTATGTATATTTTTTTAACATACCAGAAAAATGAAAAGACATTTGTGTTTTTAATGTGACAAATACAGAAAAGACTCCAGGTCGGGATGCAAACATAGGCCCTTACTGCTGCAAGGCAACGCTGATTTCAGCTATGTCTGCTTGCAGGCCGGTTACACACTTGGTCAGTAGATAAACATCAATAAAAAGCTGATTAAAATACCTGAAAATAATAAACAAAATCAACTGAAACTTTTAGTTTTTCTGAAAATATTTCGACTAAAACCCTTTGTAATGAGTTGTAAGACAGGGCTGTTTATGCTAGGTAGCTGAAACCACCATCCTCCCCCCTTTGTTCTCTTTTCAGTGATGGCTTTTCTTGATCAACTTACTTAAAGTTACTGAAAGCTTTTATTTTCATTTAAATTCTTAGCTTTTCTCACTTCTAAAATCATCTCAGGAAGCATATTTATGAGAATGCTTTAACTGAATCATCCATATAACTTCATGCTATGTCTGCTCAGGGTGAGTAAAGCTTCACCTGAGAGGAACAGACAGAAATGAGCGCAACGTGAATGCACTCTGTTGTAACTGCTCTTCCTCTTTCTGTCGGAGCTGAGGTTAGCTCAGAGAGCAGCTTTGCCCTCAGAACAGACACGACTTTTCCGGTGCCAACCTCAAGTTCTAACTAAAAAAACTGATGAGAGTAAAACATCCGCCAGGCAACACCTCTAAAGAAGACTTGCTTCAAAATATCAACCATTCAGATGAGGCAGAAACGGAGATGGGAAGTCTTTAAGGAGTCGGCCTCCTGAGTTTCATTCTGTGCCGTGTTTAGAGCATTTATCGGAGGTGAAGGGAACGGTTTAAGGTGTTAAACTGCAAGTTCCCTGATGGCGTCTGCTAGCAGAGAGAGGGATCTGCCACCTACTCTGCCTGTCAAACAGCACAGGTAATATAAACAATTAATAAGTCTCTCGTTTATCAATTTTTCAATTTAATAAAATTCTTTTTTGTGGGCATTCTAATATCTTCACAGATCCTCCTTTATTGCATATTTAGGTATTCTATAATGTATGTTTTATTAGAAGTAGAAATACTATATTGTACAAAAACAAACTATGGTTTCTGCAAAAATGCAAGCTATAAAAAAACCTCTCCTTATTTTAGGCGTTCCAGTATGGAGTCGGACTCTGTTTTCAGTCCAACTGGGTTCCAGCATCCCAGCTTGGGATACAGCGACGTCTTCTCTCAACCCACCGACTGTCATGCAGCCCAGTGTCCAATTCACCAACGCTACGGTAGGCTTAAAGAGGGATCACCTCAATCTTCTGCGTGATCATCGATACATCGTTTAAATTCAGAGCTAGATTTTATAAGTTCATGGCTTTAGTTGATGGAGATGAGAGGAAAAGACAAAAGGAGTGGTTCACTCCTGTCTTCACTTTGTCTTTTGAAATATGAAAACAGATGAGAGGAATTAAAACTCTGAGACTTTTACTTTTAGCAATATCCAAGTTATCTTCACACTACAAAGACTTGCAGGAAATGATGGGCATCCAGCTGTTACGGCAAAGCGTCACACTGCATGGAAATATAATTTAAGACTCTAAGAAGAGCTTTTTCAGTAGAGTGAGATTTACAAAACGCTGACTGAAAGTTGTCCAGAATACAGTGATGATCACGAACAGAGTTAACTGCTTGACCACCACCATGTTATTATTTCCTGTTTCCTTTGAGGTATAAATATGATTATACATCAGGGCATAGTTTTATTTATTCTACCGAATGGGAAACGCACAAGAATGTGCCATTAAAGAAATATGTTAATCAGGATCTGACTAAAAGATGATCAAAATATTTTTTGGAGCTTCTGATACTGTTCTGATCCATTTCCTCTGCGTTTCTCAATGTGTTGTCCAGATCCCTTCAAACACCAGATGAGATTCTTCTCTGATGGCACACCACCACCTGTTCCAAAGAAGAGGCTAACCAGGACCCTTTCCCTTCCCGGTATCGACCCGCCAGCACCCTGCTCGCTCTCTCCACTCTCTCCTCTGCCAAGGCATCCTCAGAACTTTGACAATCCCCTCTATATGATGGCGCCGATACCTGGTACTTTTATCTCTGAAGAAAGTGAAGACTTTAAACCAGCCAGAAGTCCAAACTCCTTACCGTCCTTCTCCCAGCTGTCCTTTGCCACGCCAGATGAAGATCTATTCTCCATTTTCGGGAACTTTCAGGACCAGGATGTTGTCTCTAAGAGGATTCAACACCATCAGCTGCTTTTCCTTCGCAGCATGGCTCAGGGTGTTGATGACCGAAGCCTCCTGGTGAAAGAAAAGGAACCTGACACATACAAGCCTCAGGATTTTCTGCTGAGTCAGGGTGCCAAGACAAAGACAGTTGGAGACAAGACTTACTACAGCCTGCAGAGCCCCAAGTTTCCTGGAAGGGTGCTTGGTTTGAGGGTAATGTTGCCCTTCTCTTACTCCATATATGGTCTTTAGTGAATCAATACTTTAGCATTAACACAACCACAATGATTTGGTTTGAAATGCAAAGCACTGTATACTGAAGACAAGACTGATAGTTATCGACATTTGCAAATGTTCCACTTGTTGTGGTGCCACTTCACTTCCTTTCAACAGCCACCACAGCTGCTACAAGATCTCTTTTGTATAGAGTTTATTAAACTATTGCAAAAATGTTTCTTTCTTTGCAGGTATGCAAAGGGACCAAGAATGCTCCTTCAGCTCGTCGCAAAGAACGGTTGCATGCTAATGTGCAAGACGTCCTTGCTTATTTTCAGCCAAGCATAAACGAGGAAAGCCCTACCAATGATCTTCCCACCTCTGCAGAGTCAGACTGCAGGGCTTCTAACCCACTAGACAGAGGCAGCAATGAGACAGTTGAGTCTCTCCTACAGAGAGGACACTGTGTGAGCATTGAGCGTGATCTACCGCACACCAGCCTGGAGGACTTTGTATTGGACAGCTGCTCGTGTAAGGATTATGAGAGACAGGTGTGTGTTCTGCTACTGCAGGTTCTAATGGGCTCACACCATCTGTACAATAGTGGCACGGCAGTTGAGCTCAGGCCCAGGGAGATCCTTCTGGTTTGGCCCAACAGGGAGAGAAGTCAGGGGCTAGAAACCCAGGAAGGGGATGGTCCCAGAGTCCAAGAGTTGTGGAGGAAATATGGCTCGCCCTGTGTGCTAGTAGTGCCACAATCTGCTGCTTCTTCAGCCCCTCAGTCCCTGACCACCATTAAATACCAAATAGGAGCCCTAATTCAGTTCTGTCTGCGCCAGCAGGAAGGCCCCATTGAAGCATATCAGTCTTTATACCGAAAGGGGCTTCAACATTTTACCTCTCTGCTTCAGAGTGACAGCAGCCCCCAGGTCACAGACATTATAGCCATGCTTCAGGTGCTCCTCTGGGGCCCCCAGGTGTCCGTCTTCGAACAGAAAGGCTTTTCTACAATGATGGTCGTGCAGAGATGGCTGACTGTCAAACGAGCCCTGCTGGTGATGAAGCTGGCAGAAGTAGGACTGATTCAGGATCAGTCTGGTCTGAATTGGGAGGTGTTAATGTGTCTGAAGTACCTGTCATTCACCGACTCTGAAACAGTAGTGGGTGTGGGCACACAGCTTTGCAGCATCCTGAGATGATTCTTCAGTCGGGTTATTTTTGGACTGCATCCTCGTTAAAGCCTTTTAGTCCCTACTTTTATATGGACTTGAACTGGTCTGATAGGATTCTGAACTTACTGAAATAATAAAAACTCACCATCTTTACAAACTTTATACCCAAATAGTTGAGATCATTAAATAAACAAACTTGTCAAATGATCTCATGTATCATGACTTCTTTACATGTATTCTCTTTAGTAACTGGACAGAGATGATCTTAGAATACAAGGCAAGTACTTGTAGCTTTGCCAATTGAAATGTGCTGCTTTCACTAATTTAAAGTTGCCATGATACCAAGTCAATGTCTAAGTACAACATAACTGAAAGGACACAGTTGTGGCTGTAATTTACACAGTCAAAGTTGATCAAAAGTTAACATGCCTCTCCACAAATATAAAACCACATTCTTTCTATATCCATCAGCAAGCTTCTGATAGAATCATGGATTCCAGATTCCATCATTGACTGTAGACTTAAATATGGTTAAAAAAAAACAAAAAACGTAATGACAGCAGGAAAAGGCAGTTGTCTAAATTTCCAATATCTAATCCAAACAGTCATATTTGGATTAAGTGATGTGGATTAAGACCTTGAAAAAACAAAACAAAAAACATGTTTTAAATGGAGGTACAGTGAACCAGCTATCAAACATGAGAGTGGTAGTATCATGCTGTGATGATTTAAGTTTGTATATTACATGAAGACCCTGAAATATCAAACTACCTCTTTTACATTTACCAGCAAAACTCCAACTGGATGATTTAGGCTTGAGATGAATCTTCTATGCCACCTCAGGCCGGTGGAATATTATTTGGACTTAAAATTCAGGTTTCTGTCAGAAAACCAAAAGGCTCCATTATTTCTGGCATGAAGGATGGCTATATACCCGGCCAGATGTTGAAGTCTTTAAGTGATTAAAAATAAGGTTGTTTTGCTTTGCAGCATTTTAATCAAGCTTCAAAACACTTTTATCTACACTTTAAGAAATGTCCATAAATTCACAGTACTCTAGTTATTTAAAGGAATTTTCAGTAGTTCGCTTTTAACGGATCTTTCAAATGCAATTATCTGTGCCGTTTAGCTAAGAATTCTGACACATTTACTGAGGACAATGGGCAAAATTTTAGAATAGAAACACAATTCTGTGTAAAAAAAAAAGAAAGAGGCTTTTTGGTTTTTTTGAATATATGTTGGGTTGTTTTGGGTTTTTTTTCCAACCAATTTCTCTTAACAAATCCATAAAAAATAAAATAAAAAAGGTCCTGTCAGAAACTTACCAGGACCTTTTGCTTTCTTGCAGAATTTTTTTGTGTATAATTTCTGGAACGACGCCTGGATCCACTTCCAATGTCACATTATTCCCATGGTGCTTGATTAAAGAAACTCCAATACAGTCTATAATGCTCCAGTCCTTCACTACATTTATCAGAAGACCACACATTATAAGGTGAGCACTTTTATTAGTAGTTACAACATGCAGATCTCTACTGAGTGGATCAAAAAATTAAAACCATGCACACATAAAAAAAAAAAAAGTTATCAACAGCAAAATCAAATGATAATTACTACGAAAACACCTACTTACATGAGTAAGATTCTGATTGATCTTAAATACACTGGAGATAGATTTCAGGGGTAGGACAAAACCAGAACATGACAAATTGAATGGTCAGAATGTAATGCCCTGCCATCATCCAGGCTTCTGCTTTACTTCCCTGCTCTGTTAAACATTTAAACTTTTGTGCAACTCTTCACTGAAACAGCACACATAAGGTAAAGGCAATGATAAACGAGCTTAAAACAGGAAACCTCAACCACACTGGATGACTAGAATATATTAATTTCTAGAACTGATGAATTGTATCGATTGAAATGGGAACAAACATTTGTAACTGCTCAGCGTTATTTTTATTCGTCAGAGGAGTCTCGCTCAATGCTGTAAGCCATGAAGAAAGCGTCAGGTCGGGAGGGGACGAGAGGATGACCCGGTCTAACAATCTCAAAGCCCAGGTAACTGAAGGTACGCAGCAAGGATGCTGAGGAGAAACGGCAAGGGAAGACAAATTCATTAGCATGAACACTTAAGACCATGTTGGTCCATCTCTAAAAAACAAAACAAACATCTGAGACAATACCATAGCAGAAATCACAACACAGAGTCTGCTCAGAAGTAAAAGGAAATAAAAACAAAAAACAAAAACAACAATGACTTAAACAAGTTGTTTTGTGATACATCTGGCTGCTATAAACATGGTACAGTTTTAAGTACTTATGACCAGTTAATTCCTAACCTGCTTCAAAAAGCAGCTAATTTAATCTCAGTTCGGAGAATCATTGAAGGAACAGCATTTTTAAACATAAACTACAGTAGCAGCCATTCAAAATGGCCCTTCCCAGCCAAAAGCCTGCTGAACGGCAGCCAAATGGCAGCAAAATGCCCTCCAACTTCCAGCCACTGGCCTTCTCTTGGACATGCATATTTTTTTTTTACTGACTCCACCCTTTCACTGAATTACAGGGTCTGACCAGGAGATGACGCTTCTCTTTACATCTGAATGCCCACAAATCATGAAAGAAAGAACCGGCTCATCAACGAAAGTGAGGAAACTTTGAGTGGCTACTACTGTAGGAAGTTTTTTTTATATATATATATAAAAAAATGAAATGTAAAAAAAAAAAGCTGAAAAATCAGATTCATCTACACAACAAAATGTGAAAAACATTTATTTTAGCTTTAGTGTAAACTACAAAACTATCAAAGCGATTTGCATCACCTGAGTTATTCTTGAAACAACAGTTATTAGTTAAAACAACACCAGGCACCATAATCTCACCTCTGTCATCACGGTTCTTGTGAAAGCAGATAAACACATGATCAGCCTGCAGCTGTTCTTCTGCAAATTCCAGCAAAAGTGCAAAACTGTAGAGAATCAAAGAAAAAAAAAATTAAAGGACGCAGAAAAACTCAAAGGGTAATCGGAATTTTCTCAATATAGGTTAATGAAAAACAACAGTATTAACAATAACAACCTACGGCTATTTGGTGAGTTACCTCTTTGCCCATATGTTTTATAGTCATTACAAACACAATCAAATTTTAATCCCAGACTAAAACAGTATCAACTGAGATAAAGGTCTTCAAAGTGAAATTTATTGAAAAAACATTCTTCTAACTGAACATTTTTTGTTGAGCTACAGAGAAAAAAAATCTCTTTTTCTCCTGACCTGTCTTTGCTGCCCTCGGGCAAAGCTCCAGAGGGGATTTCAACATAAAGGTTCCCCCCTTTCACTGCAGCCCTCCAGACACAATGTTTGCCTTCAGTGCGACGGGGCTCAAAGAGCAAGAAACGCACTCTGCTGTTTGCAGGGGGAGGCTCTTCAAGAACCAATAAATGAGCATCCTGCAAAGAGAAATAAAGGTGAGACGCCGTGGAAAGAAACAAATGTCAGATGAAAAAGAAAACAGCTGTTGTAACGTACAGAGTAGAATAGCTTAGCTGAAAGATTGCGATCCCGCTGGTCATTCCCTCGCCCACCTGGGATCTTCAGGGGTGGGAGAGGGGCATCAGGAGCACCACAGAGGCCCCGGACACGGGTTACTGCAACAGCGGGAGCACCTCCTGGGACTGGAGATGCTGGAAAAGCAGACAGAAGCGCACAAAGCCGGAGCCATTTTAAGCCAAGTCTTCACCAAACACTGCTAACAAAACAAAACAAACTTGCAACATAAATAGAAGGTTTAGTCTTCGTTGCACAACTGAAAGATTTATGACAGTAAAACATTTGCTAAACTTGGTTAATAAACACCAACTAAAACATGGGGCAAGAGTTCAATCAGTAACTGTTCTTTTCCAAGAGACAAACATTTCTACATGTTGACTCATGAAATTGAACATAAGTGCATCAATATATCAGACAAAAAGTGGATTTATGCTAGACTACATTGCTGCTGACCAATTCACAGTGAAGTGGTCAGTTATTTACCAAATATTATCGACCAACTACATTTGTTTGCTTTAACTTAGAATGACCTTTATCCCCCACTTTTGTTTTCTTTAACTGCATTATAGTAAGAAATGCCCCTACATTAGGAGGCCATGTGAGGAGCACTTAGAGGTAGAAATTTATGCAGCAAAATGAAAAACAGTCAGACTAAAATCTGATATTTTCAGCTTGATTGGCTGGATAGAAAACTCAAACTGGGATTTTTTTTTCCCACTAGTGAACAAAAAACAAAAACCAGTAAGAGGAGAGCTGTTAGCAAGTGAATATTGAAGGCTAGATGTGCTGTAAAACAACTAGGTGTTTAAAAAAAGTCACAAAAAAAGTAGGGGGACAAAAGATGCGTTTATATAAAGGAAAATACTTTTGACATGTGAAAGGTATAAAGGACATTCTTATTTCCAGGGTGATCATCTAAATAAGTGGTCCTAATTGTCAATCATTCTGGTGATATGTTTATGTAAGGCCTACCTACGTGCTTGCACCGTTAGCAATCGTTTTCTGCGCGTGCGCTCTCCTCGCAAAGCATTATGAGGTTTTCAATCACAGAGGCCTGCTGTGGCCACAGGCTGTCGCTACCAACAGCAGCGACTTGTGTTGTTAAAAAAAATTGCAAAAATCCTCAACAATACCCAAGTCTTAATTGAGGTTTATTAAGGCTGGAGAGACGGGGAAAGACTGGCTGAATGGAGTAAAGCTTCCGTTTTATTCTATTAACTTGCTAGATTTGAACAAAGGAGGAAAAAAAAAAAAAGAAAAACCGTAAATTAGGAAGCCAAACGTTTGGATTTTTTTTTCTTCATTTAATTTTGCTTTCTTCTATGTGACTACCAAATAGTTTGGTATATTAAAGAATGGGTAATTTAGGCCCAACCACTAATAGCTTTTCAACCATTACAAATAATTTCTCCCTTTACACTGGGGTTTATGACAGTTTCTGTTGGAGAGATCAGGTATGCTGCACATTCAATCCAACGCAATGATGAGTTTCATAAGAACCAGAGTGTTTTGTTGTCGTTTTAAATTAGATCAATAAACGCTTACATGTTTAGACTAAGTCTATTAGCATTCAATGATACAGAAAAAAGCAGCACACTAAATTATATTGAAGAAACCTAACAACCTCTCCACAGACGCATGGCCAAACAAAGAAGAGCTATCTCCTCTGCACAAGACTTGGTGGTACATCTACACCTTATGGACAAATGACAAATGACAAATTAGATCAATAAACGCTTACATGTTTAGACTATGTCTATTAGCATTCAATGATACAGAAAAAAGCAGCACACTAAATTATATTGAAGAAACCTAACAACCTCTCCACAGACGCATGGCCAAACAAAGAAGAGCTATCTCCTCTGCACAAGACTTGGTGGTACATCTACACCTTATGGACAAATTACATTCTTTTGAGCACCAGAATGTTCACATTTTGGACAAAGGAGACAGGTGGTTTGAAAGGGGTGTGAAGGGAGCCATTTATAAGAAAGAAAAAACAACCTTAAACAGAGGGGGTGAGCTCAGGTTTCAGCTCTCAAAAACCTACAACGCAGCAATTCCTTCCCGCCATCATCTCAACCCAGACCAGTACAAAGAAACCAAACAACTCCCCATTCCTAATGGTTGGACCTGTATATTTGTTTCAATTTGCATGTTTTCTAAGCCAAAACAAGGCTTTGTTTTGGTCCACTCTACAAAGCTTGGAAATCTACGCTAATTCTGACATTTCGAATTGGAAAAAGCTTCCTGGATGGGAGGCGAAATGTCTTCAAACTTGGAAACAAAGTCCAGAGGACTGTTTTTTTTTTTTACTTTTTTGGAATGAGTAGTACAGTAAAGTTTCCTAGTAGGCTGACAACACTTATCTCAGTCCAGTATCTATAAATGAATATTTCAGGCAATAAAGGTGGTATGATGAGGAAATGATTGCTTTAAAGAAATAAAAATAACATATATCACCTCATAAAAAGTCCTTATTTTCTACATCTTCAGAGATTTTGTTAAGGTTCTACAGATTTTCCCAAAATGCAAGTGGGACAGAAAAAACAAATAGTTAATCATCACTTAATGCGTCAAAACTGGTCAAACAAACAATCATAATGATAGTTCTTTCACAAATGCACACCGTGTATCATTAGTTGTCTTCCCTATGCCACCCCCTTTCGCAGTGCAGTGGAAATTTCCTTCCAGAGCTTTAAAAGACGTCAGAACAGGACAGACCGCCTGAATAAAAATCCTGTCAGAACACGACTAGACTTAACAAGGTCTTAGGATTCCTCATGGAAAACACACTAAAACCCATATAACCCATATATAAAGACATTAACCTCATGTGTCCCGATTTTATCTCAATTTAACGGTAAATCTGCGTGATCCTCATTAAGGTGAATCTATAAAAGTCCTACCCAGGTGGGGACACTGGCTGCTTAAAGATAATTATTGACTCCACCTAATTAACCAGCTTCAAAACAAATCTAGCTAATATGTAATTTTCAATCACCTTAAACCGTGTGAGCAAAATTGGATAAAAACACGATTATCACGACGTCAGTTGGCATAAAGTTAACAGTACAAGCCGTACTAAAATCAAACAAACAAAAATCACAATATTTTATTAAGAACGACGGACGATATTCTCCAAAATCTGTTGAAAATGTGCTTTTTTTTGTTACAGCCGTCAAGAAGAATACTTTGTTTTTATGGTCGCGACAAAAACAAAATCGATGACATAACCCAATAAACGCTAGCTGAAGTAAACCGTTTCTTTCCCATCCACACGCGCTTTAAGACTAAACTATATAATTTTATCGTTTATGCGATACGTTTTAAATTATGTTTGAATGATATAAAAAAAGCTGGGTTTTTTTCTACTAAGTGCTAACCAATTAGCAATTAGCTTGTGTCATATATTAGCCTAACCGTTAGCATTAGCTTGCACAGCGTTTCATATATTAGCCTAACCGTTAGCATTAGCTTGCTAATCACAGCATGACTGTCAACAACGTTACTTGAATTTGTCTAATTGCTGGTTTACAACACATACTGTACGCTTCAAATTTAAATGAACTAGTTTGACTAAACACATTTTAAACCCAAACTAGATTAAAAATACCTGACACAATAAAAAAAGAAAAGAAAACTATCCTATCAAATGGTGTTATTGTGAACAACATACGTGACTTGTACCTTTCGTTCCAGTAAATAGACAGGTACACCTGGCTTAGGCCGCAGCTTTAAAACTTAGCATTTAGCCTCTTTTGTTTTCTAACAGCTGACATACCTTTCGGGTTTATTACCGGACTGCTCAATGACAGGCATCTCGGATAAGTTTCTTTCTTTTTCTCTTACAAAACAATGACTATTTAAAATCGTCTGTAGGTTGGATTTAACCATCCGGCCAGCGTCCGCCACAGGCTGCTCGCTCCGTCCCTCTCCTCCGTAGGCTGATAGCAGAGTCAGGGCTGCGAGCTGCGGCTATCAGCCCGGGGAGTGTCCCGCTCACCGTGACGTATGTGTACAAAACAATCATAGCCTTTCATTCATCCTGGATGATTTGATGCTATTTCAGGTTGCTTACTTTTATTGTCTGTTAAATCGTTATCAGTTTTTACTTTGTCTACATGTTTACAGTGAATTATCACCTCTTTAATAAAAGTCAATCCATTTCTTATTGCTCCAGTCAAAGATTGTTCATGGGCTGTTCTAGAGAAGGGCCAACAGGGGCTAGTGCCCCTACATATTCAAGGCATAATGCAAAAAAAAAAAAAATCTATTGATGATTTCCACTGGCTCAGGGGCGGAGCAAGATGGGGGGCCAGAGGTGGCCATCGCCACCCCTGTGGCCACCTTTACCATTTTTTTTCGCCCTCTAATAAAGTTGGTAGCAGCAGTAATACTTTCAGGGGAATGTTCAGACTTATTAAACATTTACGTTTTTCATATATTAAAGATTTCTTGACAACTAATATGCTGTGGTTAATTATACAAATCAAAATACTAACATTAAAGTTGATTTATACACAATTCATGCTCACTTCAGAACTAAATCTTATGTTATATGGGGTAAAGAGAAAATTCTCTAGAAGTCATTTAGGAGTCTTCATTGAAATCATAGATAAATAACTACTTTAATAATAACTTTAAAAATCTATTTAATATAGATATTAGTACATGTAAATATTAATTTTATGCAGAGAAATTTTTGATAAAAGTAGGTAAGTAATGAAAATGGGAAAGATGATCGCCCCAGAAATTTTTACACCTTTTACTACCTTTTATTCAGACAGCATGGAAGTTTAAATATATGTGTCTATTTGTTAGCAAAGGCTTTAAAGCTACAGTGTGTAATAATTACAGGGATATACAGTCAGAAATGTAATATATTATACATAACTATGTTATTTATCATCATCTACGAGCTCAGCCTCTTAACATTATTATTTGCGTTGCCTTAGAATTCGTTATTTATAATTACATAGGAGTGGGTCTCGCAGCCATGGAGGCAGACATCTTTGCGCTATGGCAGCGCAGAGCCAACAAACTAGCGATTGCGAGATCGCCCATTACAATAACATGCTGCGTGATGATGCTGTTACTCTCCAGTATACTTATTCAGCAACGTCCCTGACGTTTCACAGGTAATGAGTCAGTAATTTTCTGTAAAATAATTTTCTGGATATATACCTCGGTTACTTCTCTCCGGCTCCTTTCGAGATCTTCAAGCCTTTCCTCCTCTGCTCTAGTCATCCCGCTGGCACCTCTCCCTCGCCTGGCCCTGGCTGCACGCCCACCCCGGCCTCTCTGCCCTCTTCCTCTCCCTCTTCCTCGCCTTGTAACCCCCGTGCCACAAACAAGATTTGGACTCTGTAAACGGGGAATATATATTCTTCCAGCGAACACAATCTCGCTGTTAAACTAATGACTACAATTACTTACTCTCTTTATATCACCATGCAAAGCAGCTCACCAAAACGTCACAACGACGTAGAAAAAATAACGGGTATATTTATTATCTTAAGTCTACATGAAATCTATACCCTACACAGACTAATGAAATACTATCTGTAAAATTATCTATGTAAACAAACCTCATCACTTGAGAAGGTAGGTGATGCGGACGTCGTGGAAGACATTTTGTCCCGTAACGCTCGCCGTACTGTTGGGGGGGAGAAGCGGTGGGGGGGAGATGTTCATGTTGCTGCGGTCTGCAGACTGGACGTTAGATGTCGCTGAAAATTACACACTGTAGCTTTAAGAAAGTACAGATTGTCTTTATTTAGAAAACATGGATGTTGTGCTGGTTCCTGTTGGAATAGTTTAGATTGACTAATTTTTTCTTTTCCTCTACAGTTATGTTTTATTTAATATTTGAAAATTAAGGTGATAGCTTCAGTTGTACTATTTGAACCAAATTTAGAAAAAAAAATTCATTTTATCACAATTTAGTCAGTTTTACTTTAAGAGACATGAGAGCTATCTACTAATCTCTGTTTATTTACTAGATTGCTGATATCCCGAAATAAGTGAAGCCACTTGCCACCATATTGGTACTCCCCACTCCCACGGGATGCACCATAAAAACGTGTGTAGCATTTGGCTGCAAAAACAAGAAGTTTGCCACCTGTGGGAAGATGTTTCACAAGTAATTTCAAAGTTGGTGGATATACTAACCAAGAAAATCCATATATATGCTGATGTATCCTATAGTATAGAGCAGGGCTCTTCAACGTTTTCCAGATCAAGGACCCCCAAATTGATGGTGAGATGGAGCGGGGCCCCCCTAATTATATATATATTGTATGAAATTGTTATATTAAACTGGTCCTATAGTCACTCTATTACAGATGGAGTCATGTAACGAAAGTAAATTGCCCTGGGATGATTTCTGATTCCTGGTTGATGGGACAGGTGTTGTGAATGAAACAGTGCTTAGCTTGAAAGAGCTCCTGTGTGTCGCTGAATGTGTGCATTGATGACTGAACAACATGTTCTGCCTCCATTTATCTGTTTACTACAGTGTGTTTAATTCATGTTATTGTGTATTTAAAGACATTTTAATTAGTGGAAAAATTGCAAGGGGAATATATAGATTAGAAAAAAAGTCTAATCAAGCAAAACTTTCGTGACCCCCATGCCGTACCTGCGTGGACCCCCTAGCCCCCTAGGGATCGCGGACCCCCTGTTGAAAACCTCCGGTATAGTATCTAGTGCAACATTAGTCTGGCTATCTCGGATTGACTCCAAGATATTGACTGAGTTACAGTAGCCATTGATATTGTCTCTAACATTAGAAAATAGAACGTAAATAGAAAGTAATTAATTGAAATGTCAACATGATTATTCTTTATTAAGATGGAATAAAAAACATCAGCAATCAAATTGCATACCTGGTGCTTACACAGTGGTGGTAGCATCATGCTGTGGGATTCATTTCCAAATCAGATATAAGGGAAGCTGTTGGTAGGCTGAGGATGAGTTCAGACTGAGTCAGAAACTCATCATTCAGCAGCGAATTGGCTCTTAAGATACAGCTATGGGGATTTAGTGGAACAGTTCAGATGAAAGTATTTCTTTTATGTGTTTGAATGGCTCAGTCAAAATCCAGACCGGATTCTAACCCAGAATCTGTTGAGAAATGCAGCTGGTTGATCGTCTGTTACATAAATCTGTAAAATTAAAATCCATAACGTTTGTGGCTGGAATACATTAACATAAAGTGAAAACATTTAAAGGGTATGAACAGTTTTGCAAGACACTGTAGCTTCTGCTGCTTCTGGGACGCTTTCTCCATCTGTCGGAAAGTGAGCGCTATCAATGTCGTTTTCCATCTGTTCCTGTCAATCAGGAAGCTCAGGGGCACGCCGCAGGGTTTGTGTGGCTCGGCCACTGTTCGAGGCTCAAAACAAAAACTTTTCCGACCCTCACATCTGTGGGAGGAGTAGCAGCTGTGGTAAGATTTTTTTTTTCTGTTGGCTAATATATAACTGAGAGCGTCTGCAACAACTTTTAAAGCTCTGTATGTCTGTAGGCCCTGATTTAAAGCATTCATTCTACAAATATATTTTTCTCTCTCTTATCTCTTAGCTTCACTCTGCATCAAACTTTCATCCCAATCCTCAGAGTTAGGAAGCCAGAACTGAAGCAAACAACGAATAAATAAAAGCAGTAAGTCTAAAGTCTACCAGAAATGACCCACCTGGATCTGTGGACACAATGAAAAATGTCTGATATAATTCCATCTTTCCACAGTGTCTTATGAGTGTATTCTGTCCATTGAAAACTTGAACGATGTTCCAAATCCCTGGAAAGGATTTACTATGAACCGCTGCTTATTGATGGCTCTGGTTGTGCTGCTGGTGAGCTCAGGAGTACAGGAAGTTCATGGTGAATGCTCACTATTGCTTTATCCACTACAGTACATGTCCTTGCACGATTGCATCTCATGCTGAATGAAAGTTTGTTTACTTACCTCAATGTTGGATGTTAAACAGAATACACTAATGCTGTAATTCTAGGACAATATGTACTTTATTGTAATATCTCGAACACTATGGATGATAGCATTTTTAATTACGGTATCTTTTACGATTAATTTCCGGTTTGTGTTTTTTTGTTTTTTTGTTTAGAGGGTCTGGATTATTTTGTGGAGGAGACGGGTATCAGGTCCCTGGTTGACTGCCTCCAGACAGGGTCTCTTCCTCAGGTATGATTCGTCTCACCTGGAAATAACTTGAATTTTTTAATTTTAGATGCTGAGATATTCCTGCAATATTGTGGACTTAACAAATGTTAAAATAATCTACTTCAGACTGGTCTGTTTTATAGAATAGTGTAGAATTCAAATTAATTGTCATTACACTGTCACAAGTAGAAAGCAACCAAATGTAGTTTGCATCTATCCAGAAGGGCGATACTGGCTATTAATATTTATATGTAATAATAATTGATATTTTTGATAATTGAACTTTATTGATCTCACATTGGAGGGTCTTGTTCAGGGACCCAGATTGGGAGTCTGTGGAAGTAGGAGGCTCGAACCGAGAACCTCAGGAATCCAAGCTCTATGTCCTAACCACTATATATACAGCAGTGCAGGCAGCTGTTGGTGAATTCTTTTTATCCTATTGTTGATACACCTGAGCAGTCAGCAGAGGTGGGTAGTGGTTATATTTACTCAGTTACATTAACTGGAGAAACATTTAAAAAAAAAAAAAAAAACCTTCAGGATGGTTTTACTCTGCCGTGCTTCCTATTGTTTGAGTAATTTTCTTGTAAGTTTTGCTGCTTCTTTTTGAGTGAATTCTTTGGGTACGCTGTCCTCTGGATTGGTTTTCTAGGTTACAACAACAAACAACAATAGAAAAAAAGAATTCACTATATATATATGTGTGTGCATATATACATACATAAAGGCAGATGGAGCAAAATAAAATCTTCAATGTAAATATAAACATACAGCCAGAGCTACAGTGAAATGCTTTTCTGAGAAACTTCCTTTTAAATGTAATATATCTTGTGATGAGAAGAATTATAAAGAAGGAAATTTATAATTTTATGCCTCTATGTGTAAAGCTTACATAGAAGTAATATAAAAACCCTGCAGCTACGATAACAGCAAAAAGTGCCTCTTTTCAAATCCTTTTCCGTTCGCTTTTGTATTTGTTAAAGGGAAACACAGTTTTTTTTTACATTGGGCCCTTTGTTTTATGTTATTACATTAAGTTCTACTCACCCATATGAGTTTTGTGTCATTTGGAGCAGTTCTGAAGATATTCCATTAGGTTATATCCAAGTAACTTCTTCCTATGGGCAACGAGTTGAAGGCACAAACTAAACTGTTCATAATTTATCATTTATGGTACGCCAGCATTCATAACATGTAGGCGAATCACTGTACCCTAGACATCCGCGTTTATATTTTTTATATTTATATATTTCTAGACATGTTATGAATGCTGGCGTACCATACAGAATACATTATGAACAGTTTAGTTTGTGCCTTCAACTCGTTGCCCATAGGAAGACGTTACTTGGATATAGCCTAACGGAATATCTCCAGAACGGCTCCAAATGACACAAAACTCATATTGGTGAGTAGAACATGATGTAATAACGTAAAATCAAGGGGCCAATGTAAAAAAAAAAAACGGTGTTCCCCTTTAACGTCATGAAATGTGATGTATCTCCAAAGTCAAAACAGTAAAATTCTACTCATTTCAATTCCCATCATTACTCTATAGCTGATTTAACAATAAAGACATTTCTGAAGGGTTTTGAAGTGAGTGAGCTGCAGGAGGGCAACAGTCACCCTTTTGAAACACTCTGGCCCTTTAATAATCAGGCTTTTTTACATGCATTAATTTAGGAGAGGGCATTTAGTGGGACATTTTCTGAATCTCTGTTATATCTTTTAGTTTTTTTTGTCATTATCAGTGGCCCCCATCCAGCAGACCCCTGGAGAACGTTCTGGAAGTGTCCCTGCCTTGAAATAATTGTTAGAGCATTTCATTATTCATTCATGGTGTTATTTCCCTATTTCTTTTCCCAGTTTTCCATATGGGACAGTGTGACCAGTTGGTGGGGATCCGAAGAGCTTGGAGCAATACGGAGAAGAAAAAAGCCAATAGGCAGAAAAGTAATTCTAAAACCGAAAGCTAAAGAGTGAAGCATAAAAAATGTTTTCTTTGATGGATTCACAGGATTCCTGAATAAAAAGTACAACCAAGTACAGACTGTCTTTGATCATAGTTATTTTAATGCATTATTTTAATGTTTGAATTTTTATACATATGAGGACAGAAAGAATAATAAAACATGCACATTGTAACATCTATGTGAAAGAATCATACATATCTGTTTAAATAATGTGAATTTACCATAACTGTATAAACCCTGCATGCAGAAAGCCACAAACTTTTAGCGACAGCCGCACTCTTTGGCTATCATATCCGGCTTGATGGAGAGAAAGCTGCCCTCGTCGTTCCAGTCTATCACCTCCAGGGGGTCGTAGGTCAATGGCACGCAGCAGGGCCCCCGCTCATTCACATTGCCCCTCTCGATGTGATAGTTCAGGAGGACTGCGTGGTTGTTGCCGTTGGATAACGGGAAAGCACATGAGCCGCGGCAGTTGTTGAGGTTGGCGCTCTGGGGGCCCAAGAGGAGCTGTTCGAGGGACACTGTGAGACTACCCAGCCCGCAGATGGGTCCCCTGGTGGAAGGGCCTGCTCTGGTGGCCCTCAGCTTTCCCTGTATGTTGTATGCATGGGTCACCGTCTGCAGGGCCTTTAGGAGGAGGAAGGCGCAGTATTGGCTCTCTCCTGTTTGAAACAGGAAACAAGAGATCAGTTTATATCTTCGTTCTTAAACAGCATGATTTAAAGGCCCATGCATTTTTTCCTAACACCTTCTGCTGCAGGTTCCTGCCTCTGAAAAGCACTGAGCTCTCTGAGTCTCTCCAGCTTCTCTGATGATCTGGGTGGTATGGCTTCCTGCCGTATCAACTCCTTTATCTGCTGCTCATTCTTCTCCAGCCTCTGACCAAGCTGCTCCAGCAGGGCAGGGGAGAGGGCCAGCTGTCCAGGACGCACCGGGAAGCAGGAGCTCCAGCTGGCGAAGGAAAAGATAGTGGGGGCAGAGGAGTTAATGATTTCCGCCAACAGGGCCTCGCTGGTGGATAAGCCGAGAGCCAGAGGAGGAAGGGACTGCAGGGAGCCGAGCGGCAATAGAGGGGGCTCGGTGCGTTGCTGAGGCAGGACAGCATCTAGGAAGCGCCTCAGTTCACAGAGGAAGGAGGCAGATGATGTCTGGAAGGAGGCCACTGATTCACTTGACCTGTTTACATGTTTGGGAGATATACCAGTCAGAATTGATCCAACACATCAGTTTAAAGAGGGAACATGAAACTCAAACCCACCTCCGATCACTTCCTGTTTCTACGGAAAAAAGCAGAAGTGGAATCATGCGAATGCTGCTTCCTGTATTTCCACCCATAAGAACATCTTTTAGGTTTTGTTCTGCGTGACAGGAAGCGTAAGGAGATAAGACACACCACAAGACATTAAGAGTAGGAAAAATAAAAAAAACACATCTTACTCATATTTGGGGATTTTGCCTGAAGAGAAACCTGCCATTTCTGTTCAACGTTTCCTTCAGATGGTTTTCCTTTTAGCAGTATGTACATCGTTCCCCCTGAAATGCAAGCAGACTAGGCAAAGAAACCTGTGGTCACAGCAGAGTGAAACCCGAAGATGAGGAAAACTTGAACAATAAATTTAGAGAATCCCATCAACAGAATCCTAAGGCACAAACAAACAGCTGCTGCATAGTGCCCTCCTCAGACTCATTATACATCTATATAGAATTAACATATTCTTACAATTATGTCCAAGGTTGTTAATAGTAGATTTGACAGATTATGCTTTTTTATTCAAACTTAAAGATATACTTAGCTTAATTGAAAATAGTTAGAATTTTATATTTATTGCTGACTTAATGTAAGTAGTTGAATCGTTTTCCGATTTTTCTTTTTCTGCAGGAGTCACATTTCAGACATACACCGGAAAAAAAAAATCAAAATCTAGATAAGTCATACTTTCTTAAAAAAGTGATTTTTTCTTGAATTGAGGAGGTGAAAGCGACATTTTGCCAATGCAACAGGACAATGTACACACAACTGCATTTTCTTATTTCAAGTTCATATTATATTATTTTAAGAGTAAAGATACAAATTCCATCGGCAAAATCTCATTTACCTACTTGAATTAAGGATAAATACACTTAATTTAAGAAGTTTTTTTTCCATTGCACTGAATCAAAAGTTGCTTTTACGCAGTCAAAATTTAGAAAAAGCCCAGCTGACTTTAATTAAGTTTTCTACGTAACATGACATGAATGCCTGCGAGTATACACTAGCATCTTCAAACACATTTTGTGATGCATGTTGAAATCCCCTGACTAATAATCCTTATTTTCATATGTTATGGTCTGGTAAAATATATTCTGCAAAATATAACTATTGATTTTCATGTGTTACATTAACCACGTTAAAAAACAACGCTTGTGCTGTTATGGATGATTAGTCTAACTGGAAGAGGACCCCAGTTAGATATGAAAACCAGTTTCACTCATTTTGTACCACAAACTGTGTTTTTTTTTCTGTACCTGTGTGTTTGGCCTGAGAGAAGTACTAGAGAAAGTGACCTCCATCTCTCCATCTGGGAGGGGGCTTTCAAACGCCAACACCAGCACTGGTTTCAACTTGAAAAACGGGGACTGAGGGAGGTCAAAGGTTGCCATGATGGTTTCATCATCTTCCACTGATACAAGCACTAATAGAGAAATACCATCATGTGTCACCAAAACTATTTATAAGAAATAAATAATGAAAATTGTTCAAATAAATTACTGCACAGCTTTTAAGCACTGATACCTGCCGCCGGATCCAAAACCTCCACACCTCTTCTGCTGTTCCTTCGTATTCCTACACTGAGTTCTAACAGGACTGATAGGGATGAGTTATCAGAATCCTTGCACATCCCAAACAAAGTCGAGCTGCTGCTTACAAGTTCCCCATCTTTCCCTGTGGCGTCATGCAGCGCTGCAACCAAGTCATCCACAAAGCAGGGAGACTTCTGCAGCTCTGTGGAATAAATCAGAGGAACTGGAGAATGAGCATACACATAAATACATGCAACTTTTCTTTTAAGCAAGACTAACAGAAACACTATTAAATCCTGACCTGTTACTGTAGGACCAACGCTGCTCCAGAGCAGAACCAACACCAACATGTTTAACTGTGGGGGTGAACACCTGTGTGGTCCCATGTCTCCTAGTTGCTTGTTTGGTTCGGGTGAAGATCCAGAGGATGGGAGTTAACATCCTCCCACCTTTCCTTCTCACTGACAGGGGAGTCAAAGTAGGAGAAAAAAAAAGATGCGTCCTTGATGATCTGAAATGGTTGTTGAATAGAAAGGTAGAAGGCAGGTTGGGTGGCTTGTTGAATCTCCTTAACTTTGACAAATTAGAGAGAAAACAAAAATAAAGGGAGGATTTAATCTGAAACAGATTCATTAGTTATTTTTTCATCTACTACTGCTGAGCACAATGACACACTATAGCCAAAACACTGTGCACTTACTAGCTTTAAGCATTATGCTAAAGACTGAGACATTTACTAATTATATATATACATATATATGTGTTTATCCAAATTCTGCAAAATTGTTGAAATTCTCTTTTTTATTCACCGCTTATTTGTATTTGTATTATATATACACACAAATATGTATTATATATATAATACAAATACATATAACGGTGAATACAAAAGAGAATTTAAACATATATATTATATATAAAACACACACACACACACACATATACATATATATATATATATATATATATATGTATTATATATATATCTATATGTGTTATATATATAATACAAATACATGGGGAATACAAAAGAGGATTTCAACAATTTAGCTTTATTTGGAATAAACATAACAAAAACAAGGCTAAAACAGAATGCAACACCATTTTCGGTTGCTTAAATAGTTCACAATAGGTCACAGGGTGTCTTAAATTGTAGCGGACAGCAGAAATGATTCCTTGTAAACTCCCTACAGGTTCTCACAGATGCAGCCTTGTTTTGCAGACAGTCAAGGTCTTAGGGCGGTTCAGAAGCTTGGGGTCCCAGGAGATAAAGGCATTCCCCATTCATGGCAGAACAGACAGTTTTTCTTCTCAGGGCAGACCTCTTTAAACCTCTTTGTGATAGGCTGACACGAAGTGAAAAATATTTGTGAATCACAAGGAAGATGAAAGCTATTCCTTTAACAAATAAGCTGAAAAGTAGGGTGTGCAATCAACCACCTTTTGAATCCTAAGTATTTGTGAATTGTTTCTGTTAGGATCTAGTGTAATCAATCAATCTATAGCACGCTTGATAACTGCACCAAAGTGTTAAGAATAAAGTTAAGAATAAATAAATAAGTTTAAAATAGACTAATAACCAGAGTGACAACAGGAGTGGTGCCATACAGAACTAGATCAAAGTAAAGCCAAGAAATAAAAATGTGTTTTCAAAAAGAGATTTAAAAACAGCAGAAAAGGAGGTCTGATGGACAGTTAAGGTTATATTATTCCAAAACGTAGCAGCTGTTCAGTAGCAGGCGATCAGCTGACCCAAGTGTTCATGGTTGGCAGTATGGCTGAAGCAGATCATATAGATATGGTGGAGTGAGGCTGTTTAGGCATTTAAAAAACAATTTACAGTTTAAAATGAATTCTATAATAAACAGGGAGCCAATGAAGGGATGCCAGGATGGGGGAGATATCTAAACTGCTGCAGGTGTGAGTTAATAAGCGAGCAGCAGAGTTCTGTACAAGCCTCAGACAGGCAAGAGATGCCTGGCTAATGCCCGTTTAAAAACGCAACATTAGTCGAGATGAACTATGAGAAAAGTGTGGACTAATTTCTCTGGATCCAGTCTCGCCAAGATTGGCTTCACTTTAGACCTGCTGATCTGTTCCTCGAATAAAAGATTGGATTTACAAACAGATTTGTGGCGGAGAACCTGAGTTAAACTGACCGTGAACCAAGATCTACATTTGGTGAAAGAGCCCCTTCCCCCAAATAACTTCTGTCTTGTTCAAATTTAGACTAAGAAGTTAAGATAGCCATGCTTTGTCATTGAGGCCAAGTTTAAGTTGTTTTATTCTGTGCAATCAGGAGATAGAAAGATAGAAGAGAGGAAACAAAGTTCTCCAGTTTTAAATAGAAACTCCAATTGGGTGGTAGGACAAAAAACAATTAAGGGCAACACCCCTAAGCAAAACTATAAATACAATAGATATGGTTATGTAACTCAGAGAACAATTTAGATACTTGTACCAAATTATTTGAATTGTAAAAAAAATTGCAGAAAAATGAAAATTACAAAACTTATATTTTTCTCTGCAACATTATCAATGCACAATTGCTTATAATTCAAAGTTACCTTCATATCTCTCACCTCAAAAACAATGATGCACATCTAAAATATGATTTGTGCATTCCTTAATGTGAATATAGATGGAACTCTTATTACTTCACCAGTAGAAGCTTAAGGGATACTGTAGGACGTGGAAGCTGGCAGCATCAGTGAAAGAGCACTAAAGGATGTTTTTAAGTTCTAATGTAGATCTAATTAATCCAATTATTTTATGCTGTGGTGCTCTTCATTTAAAAGGGTCAGCCAATGCTTGCAGAAACCCTCCTTATACCTTCATTTAGAACATATTAATTCAATATTTCACTTCATTGAACGATATCGGGTCTCTACCTTTAAATATATTCAGGATTAAATACTCTGGACACCAAAACATGCCAATATCATATGAAACATTTTATTAATAAACATAAGAGGCAGAAATAAAACCCAAAACACTAATTCCATTTGTCTCATGTTAACATCATAGGATAGAAGCACCAACATCAAACAGTAACAATTGTTTCAGGAAAAACCCAGGGCCTTTTGGAAAGTAGGTTTGCCATTATTGCACCTCAAACCTGCCCTGGCTTCACCAATCACAGGTGACCGCACACCAACCACTCAGGTAGCAGCCGTCCTCCACTGCCAGCCCCGACGGTTAAAGGGATCCGGACAGAGGACGCCGCACCTCTTTCTTGGCCGACACATCTCGAGACAGAGGCATTTTGTGAGATGAAAGAAGTCGGAGCAAATTTCATGGCTTTCCTGAGATCACAGCGACTCATGGAGCTCGGCGCATGCACTGCTAGGAGTCAGTCTGAGGACATCACAGGCAGGTTTTTGCTTAAAAAATATGCTCACCGAGTTTATCTTCGTCCTGAGCTTAGTTTCTAAGGGGGACTCCATCATGCCACATTTATAAATTAGCTGTTTATAGAAAACTGTTGGAAGCTTCCTGAGTTAAGACCTTTGGCAGGATTTAAAGTAAACAGCCTAGAGTGCAAAAACTCACAAATCTACCAAAGACGTACCAGGAATATTGAAAAAAATCTTTAATTGCAAATAACACTCCAAAAAAAAAAAAAAAAAAAAAACAGCACAAAAAAACTACAAATCTGACTAAAAGCTGTGATGAGCACATTTAACCTTTTATAAGACAAACCTTTCTCAGCAGTGCATGCACCAAATCACCTCAAAAAGAAAAGATCCAAGAGTTTGGACCATCAGGAAAGCCACAAAGCGAGCTCAGATTAAACATGTTCTAACCATAAAACCCTGCAGCACAATAGAAGGGTAGCATCTATCAAAAGCTGCATTTTTATATCTGAAGTAAAGGAGAGCACCGTGCTGTCCATCTGGATAGTAGTAATAAAACCTGACAGGAATCTGCATACACCATAAAAAGCATTACATGTAACTGTAATTGTATCAAACACCAAGAATAGGAAAGAAAAATAATCCAAACAGCATCAACAATAATTACAAAATATCTCTCAGTGCTGGTAACAAATGGACTAGTATCTAACTACATCTGAAAATGACTTTCTTCTCTTCGTTTTAACACGCACAGGTGAGGAGAATGTTTGTTTACATGAGGAGTGCACAGGACAGGAGGTTTGACTGTAAAGCTTTCCATTTTAGTCTAATCTTCCCTTAGATATGCACTAGTAAGAGTTGGGAGAGAAAAAAGATACAGCACCCACACATAACTGAGCTTAAATGCATTTTCCTCTAGCAGGTTTAAAAGGAGGCATTGCTGCTCTCGATCATCAAAACAGTACTTTACATCAGCATGTCTGTAAGCCGTTACACAACATGATCACTTGACAATTCGGCCTCGTCAGGAAGATAGCGTGTGGGGAGAAAAAAAAAACATGAAAAAGACGCCGACATGGCGTTATATGCACCAGTTAAGATCTAGTTTGTAAAACCGAACCCGGGTTGCATTGAAACATAAGCACCATTTATTTTTTTCTTTCTTTCTGCAGAGTGCGGATCCAAAACAAAAGAAAAATAGAGCTGAAAACACCTGATTTAAGTGAGAACAGTTCTAGTGCTGGGTTCTACGTGTGTCTGAGCTACCACACCGCCGTGTGTTTAGATAGGAACACAGTTTGTGTATCTAGTCCTGTTTTTCTTACATCACAAAGCTTCAGGTGCTGCCGTGTTAAGGTCCCGAGGTGGTAATGCTTTGCTTTGCTCAGCTTGGCTTCAAGCCTCCTGTTTAAACAGGCTGAAAATAAGGGTCAGAATGTGAGCACCAAACATCCCTAATCACTTTCATATATATAGCTATATACATATATATTTATTTACTTTTATAGACGTAATGTAAATAGATACATATTTTATAAAACTTTGATGGGAGACTTAAAACAAAAAACAATATAAAAACAGTGTTTCTTATTCACTGAGAGATAAGAAGTTCACTTCTGAGAGAAAAAGCAGTCTATATGTGGAAAAAAACCTCTTTAGGAGAACATCAAAACCTATTTACTCAAACTCTGAGGCAGCTACTAGAGTTTTATCATCATTAGGCGGCGTCTACTGTTGAACACTAGGCTAAAATCTGGAACAGTATATTAAATATGAGAAGAAAAAAAAGCCAAAAATGGCCTAAAGAATGTCCCTGTGTAGAGCACCAAGAATTGAAATTGTTTTCTTTTTTTTTCTGATTTCAATTTACAATAAATAAATTCAGGCAAAGTCCAAACTTAGCACCATTGTTTTCAGACTGTGAGTCAAGTACACACACACACACACACACACACACACCATTGCATTCTACTTGTCAACACAATTCAAAGTGAGAAACGTACACCAAGGGAAAAGGACAGACGGTCAGCATAAATAATAATCTTCTAAATTATCAACAACTATACAGTCGGAGAATGAATCACATTCACAGTACATACATTGTTTACCAAAAAAAATAAAAAATGACAAGCAAACAAAGGTATGAAGGTAGTCCAGTAGTTTTGTTGTGGTTACTGTAAATTTTGCTTTGTTTTTTTAACCCAGTGTGCGAGGCTTTGCATGTTTGCCTCTGTGTTATGTGTGCGTGGTTGTATTCACCAAGTGCAGCAAATATAAATAGGGCAAAATTTAGCTTAAGACCAGTTTAAAAACTTGGTTGCAGAAAAGAAATCCTTCCAAGTAGTAGTGTGACTTAACCAAGCTGACTCAAGAACAGAAAACCCAAACTAACCGACTCCAATAAATCTCTACACCCGATCCTAAGCCAGTCCTTAAACCTCCACTAAAATAAAACATAGTTAGTGAATATAAGTTCATCTTTTTAGATTAAAACACACACTGCTGGTCACCAAATGGTCTAAAAACAAGAATCATGTTTTAAGATTAGCAGATGTTCCCACTAATTTTCAAACACTGAAAAAAAGCATAACTAAAGAGATTTTAAGTGATACTGCTGAATACTTGATATTAGATCAAACTCTAATTCAAATCAAATTGAAGTTTAATTCCCACCTAATGGAAAGGGAACTCAAAATTTTCTTTTTGGTATTTTAAAAAATAAAATAAAATAATGTGGTGCAAAAGAACCCACTGAGACTGGGACATCTTTATCCTAATTCCAGTGTGACGTCAGACAAGAGATCCTCATCATGCTCAAGAGGGAAGGAAACATGGTTAGGTGAACAAGCATGCTGTAAGGAAAAGCTGCAAAATATCTGAGAGCTGTTTGAATATCTGATTCTCTGTGTTTCAGTATTCAAACACACATGAAGGGAAGCTTTGGGAGGAGCGGAGCACCTGATAGGATTCACAAGATGGACGCTCCAGGATGTAATTCCACTTAACCACCACAATCCGATTTGAGCTGACACTGATTCAATCATTTATTTTCCTTGGGCTTGAAGTCCAGATTATAAATCTTCACACAGACATTTGATACATCAAACATAAACATGACTTTTAAAAACAGATGCTCCAGGTGACCACAGTGGTCCTTAGTGTGAGAGTCCCAGATGTCCCAGTGGAAAGCCGGTCTTGGAGGCGGTTGGGTAGTGCAGACGGTTTGAAGCACCAGTGAAAGAGGAGTGTGCCTTGGTCCACACCTGGACATTTGCATAGTTTATTTCTTGTTGAGGTAGTTCTCATCAATTACCTGAAACAATCACAGACAGAAAATAATACAGTCAGTCACTTGGAGCAGAAACATTCATTAGCAACAACAAAGCAGCCTTTGTGCTTTGGAAGATTTTGGACCGGTTTAACTCTTCATTTTGTCCAATTATAAACACACTTAAATGCAGTTTTATGTGTAAAATCAACACAAAGTTGTGTACAGCTTAGAGGGGAACAAACCAGAGTCAATTTATATAAACACTCCTGTACCTGCAAATAAAACCTAGTACAACTAGCAGCCTTCAAAACTGTGTTAAAGAACCTCAGTGAACAGACAGGAATGTATACCAATGACCACAGAGGACGGGTCAGGTCATAGAAAAAAGATGCACAAGTTTGTCATTTAGAGTGTGAAACAAGTGAACGGAGAGTTTGAAAAGTGAAGAAGCCATGATGCTCATGGTAGCTCAGAAGGAGTTGCAGATTCAAGAAGTGACAACGAGGGAGGGAGCGTAAAAGAAGCAGGACTTGTGGAGCAGAACAAACCTGAACAAGACGGTTTTATAACTGATCGAGTTCAATTGAAGCTGATTAAAAGAGAAATGGATGATGAACTTTATAAAAGATGCAGAAAATCTGCTAGTCTGCATAGATCTGAGCTATGGGAGGGTTAAGATCAGGGGTGCCAAAGCACAGGCCTCAAAAGCTGCTCCACGTATGGGAAGGCCTGGATTCCAGGCAGATCTGGAGAACGTCTGATGGGGAATTCAGCCATTATGTCCAGGGAGTAGAAAGAGAGCATTGAAAGGAGCTCACAAGAACTCGAGCTGCATCTTTACATATTGTAAAGAAGGATGGTCAGAAAGAGCAGTGTGGAGGTGAGCAAAGCATCTACAGACACCTCAACAGAACAGCAGGCATGGTTGAAGAAAATGGTGGTTCTGGGGTCAAAAGGGGGCAGAAAACAAATTTCACATTAAGCCTTTTCAGGTCTTTACATCAGATCCAGTTTTGAACCATTAATCATTTACTTCACATTTCAGTCATGCACTGAGTTGTTTCTGTCTACCACATAAAATAACATTAAAATACATTGATATGTGTGTCCATAACCTGCTGCCACAATGTGGAAAAGCCTAAGGGGGTGACTGCTTGTGCGATGTAAAACTTCCATGAGTAACAAGGTAAAATGAGACACACCTAAGATAGTCGTCAGGCCTCTTACCTTGTTCATTTTGAACAACAGCTTGTAGAAAAACATGGAAAACAGGTATCCTGTCTCTCTCTCTCTCCCCCTATCTTTCTCTAACCACTCTCTGATTCCCCCGCGCCCATCCCCTCTTCCCCACTGCCCTTCGGCCCAAACACTATCTATGTCGGGGGCCGAGGATCTGGGAGTTGGTGTGTGGACCATGCATGCCCTGAGTCCTCCACATGCCACCGCCTGAGCTGCTGCCCAATAGAGGCACTGGCAGCCTGGAAGGGGGGTGCACTGTGAATGGTCGGGATGACGAAGAGGTGGAGGGGGAGGGAGAAGCAGCAGGGGGGACAGAGGATGAAGTGGTGGAGGAGGTGGTGAGGGAAAGCGAGAGAGATAACTGTATTCTCTGGTGATGGAGAGAAGTCTGGGAGAGACGCGAGGAGTGGAGGGAGTCAGACTTAGAACACGATGAGATGTCAGAGTGTGTGGAGGCTAAAGAGGAGGAGGAGAGACTATGAAGGGGTGGTGGAGGGGGCAGCGAGAGAGAGGGGCTGTGCAGGACTGACTGCGTGCGGCTGTGCTGGGCCTGGGACAGCGAGAGAGACTGGGACACAGAGGTCAGGCGCGTGGAGGCAGGTGGAGGAGTGGTGCGCTGCTGGGATTGGGAGGAGGCAGAGGAAGAGGAGGAGTGACTGAGCAGGGAGCCGAGGCCTCCAGAGGTGGACAGTGTCACCCCAAACTGATGGGAGGACGCTGAGGGAACCACATGGTGAAAAATACCTGCAAATTATACAGCAGAAACGGACGAGTGGGGGGGAGGGGGCGAGAGAGTGGAGAGCAGAGGAAGACAGAGCAGATGACAGCAGCGGAGAGAGAGCCAGGAGAGGGGGACAAAGAAAGAGGCAACGACTGAGCGGGGTTCTGCACAAGCGGCAAGCATGTCTGAGACAATCACACAAAAAGCAGACAGTGATTCCTGCAGAGACAGCAATGGAACCAAACAATGGCTGAAGAGAATCTGCTGAAAAGACTCTGAGACAACGCAAACACCCCAGGAAATGACAGAGAAATAAGTCAATTTGTTAACAAGGTTTCCATTTTTTGTTTTTGTTTTGTTAAAGCATCAATTCCTTCACAGCATTGTCCAGAGGTGTTTCTGTTGGCAGCCGATCCACGTCAGCAGAAGCAAAGCAGCACAGAGCGTCTGTGGTTCAAACACCAAAAGAACAAGCTTGTGTTTCCACTCACCTGTTTCCTAGCCTCGCTCCGACTACTGAATAAGACTTAGACCTACAGTAACTCTGACTGTTCCCATATTGGATACCAAACTCCTACGTTATCAGTGATGCTCACCTCCTGCTGCTCCACCTGCCAACCCTGCACTGGAGAAGCTTCCCAGGGCAGGATGTCCGTTTACAAGCCTGGAGGTCCCGTTCACAGTTGAGACACCCGTCTGGGCCCCGAACAAGGACTGAAGGACCGTGGTCCCTGTGAGTGGAAACTGGGAGCTCAGGTACTGCCCCATAGATGGCCCAGTGGTTGAGGACACTGCGCTGGGATTGCCTCCAACCTTCCCACTCAGAATGCCTCCACCACTGCTGGCGGCAGCGGCGGCGATGAAGAGGTTCTGACTGGCCATGCTGCTGCCGTTCTTCAGCTCCCAGTCACGTGGACCCTTCTGCTTCTGGAGGACCTGGCGCTGGTCGGAACCGGTTCCTCCCTGGACACCGCAGCCATTAGTGGCGACCCACGCTCCTGTCTCCTGACTGAGGAAAGGGTTAGGGGTCATGTAGCTGGAGCAATCCCCGTCGCCCCCTTTCCTCCCATTCTGTTGTTTGTAGTCCGAGTCTGAGTCTGTGCTTCGGCTCGACCCCCCACTGCTGAAAGGGGACCCCCCCTGACTGAGGTCACAGTTGTTTTGCTTGGGGTCTGATATGGGTGAAAAGGTCGATTTCCACTTGCTGTTTGAGCAAAAGGATGATGAGGAAGCCTCGCTGCCTGTGCTGTTGCCACTGCTGCTGCCAGATTTCCTTCCTATTTAGAAAGAAGACAACGGATTTCTTCACCAAAAGAGGCAAAAATAAAGACTGAAAAATTTCCCAAAGTGTGGAGTGTTCTTCTCTTACCTCGTTCCCCATCAACCAGTCTATGTCCATCTCTGCTATCCAATGATATAGTGGCTATTTTCCTTTCGATGCTAGAAAGAACAAAGCTATTGTGAGCCAAATGACGCAGCTTGTATTAAAGAAAAAAACAAACAATTCTAAAAACAGGCGGGTTCTGAGGTTTTATATACTTAAACGTATTTTTTTATGAGAGAATTTAATTACACAATATTTCAAAAGCTGAAAACGATAGAAAAAGTCGTCCTGCACCACACAGAGTTCAGGCGGTGTTTGCTGCTAAATTACCGGGAACTGGAGCTGTCCGGAGGATATCCTGAGTCCTCGTCATCAGAGCTGGGGGTGGTCGAGTATCGACCGTTACCATTGAACTCCAGGGGGCGCTCTCTCTTTAAGATGGGGGGCTGGTCCCGGTCGGCACCGTGGGGGCTTCGGCTTGACTCCTCTGGAGAAGAGATGGCGGAGATTTCCAGAGGCTGGTTGATGTTGTTCACCTGTTGAGGTTAAACAGAACATTTATCTTCAGTCCAAAAAAACTTTCACAGCTTATAAAGACAATAATCTAATCTGATTAACTATCGCTTTATCTGAAAATCTTTCTGCTGTAATTTTCTCTTCACAAGATAAGGATGACAGCTCAACGTTCCTTCTGTCACAGTGACCCACCATGGAGTTGATGTTGAGAGGCGATCCAGAGGAGTGGCTGTTGGAGCCGACCCCAGAAAACGAGCGTCTCTTCGGGGAGGTGCTGGACGCCGCTGCCCCTGTGGAGCTGCGTTTCCTCCTCCAACGCCTACACCGCTCCTGAGAGCTGAAGCTGTGGGAGGATGACGTATGTGTGGGAGTGTGTGCGTGCTGCGTGCTGGGAGACTGGTGGTGGTGGTTTCCATGGTTACTGTGGTATCCCTGCTTGGCTGAGCCAGCATGATGATGGAGGCGTGATGCTCCAGTCGCACAGTTTCCACTGCCTGATGAAGAGGAACACGAAGATGAAGAGGGGGAAGATGAGAAGAAAATCTTCATCCGTAGTTCCCTTTCTTGGAGCTCTGTGTCTGAATCCCCACCTTGGCGGTCCGCTCCATCTTCGGGGAGAATCCGTGGCGGTCCGTCGGCATACTGAAGCACGCCTCCGGTGCTCAAGGAGGGGCTCTGGATGGGGCCACCTCGACCCGTTGGTCCTGTCAGAGGACTGTTGCTGTGTGGAAGAGGTGATAAAGAAGCACCATTGTGGTCCTCATGGTGTGGACCTCCATTCATCAGGCCTGCGCTACATGAATATCCTGGAGAGATGCAGCAGTTTAAAGTCGAGGTTAAAGATAAGGAAAAACAGCCTGTAAATGAGTTTTCGACAAAAGAAGCACAGTAGGTGTCAGACGCAATTTAAAACAGGGTTTAAAGTGTTTAAGGAGCAGAAATGATCAGGGTTAACAGCAGATTATACTTCTGCAACGGCACACATCAAGTTTAGCTTGGGTCTGGTGGTGAACCAGTTTTGCTGGTATGCTTCTGCACCGTTGGTCTGGAATTTCTAGGGACGCACAGCAGTTTCCCGCCAAACTGCAAGGGGGAGCCTATTCAAGAAGTCGCGAGAACTTCGGGTGCGCCGGCGGGAGTGTTTATCTTCCGAAACAACAATGGTGCGTCTGCAAGATGTCACTGAGATGGATCTAGAGTTGCTAGACACTGAAGAGAATATATTTATTTATATAATTTGTCTGAGGCGTCGTACAAGTGGTTCTACTTCCGAAACCTCCTCGATTAATCCTTCGTCGTAGTTCATTGTTACTTGTTTTTTAAAAATGGCGTGCCCCGGCACCAAATCGAGAAGGACGACCAAACATGACATGACAATCACAGCTGCTTTTTGTCTGCGCACTTCCGCTTGAGGTCTGCGCAGATTTGCGACCGTCCGACGTGTAGTCAGGATATTTTTTGAGGTGTGTGACGATGGTTGCAGAACCTCTGCGCGGGGGGTGTGGTCGGGCACCGAGACAGATTTGACAGTTGCAGAGGCTATGCGTCAGAAGTATAAATTTGCCTTTAGAGAACCTATGAATTCCTTGCATGATCAGCGATAAACCAACCAGCCTTTTAATGGCCTATACTGACTGAAGGTTTACACTGAGATCTGAGCTGTGGATTCAGATGTAGATCTATTCTGATTATCTCTGTAATTCTGGGTTAAAAAATTATATGCAGGCTTTTTGAAAAAGGAAATTATAACAATATCCAAATGTATACATGGGAAACAACATAAAACTGGAAAAAAAATTTATTAGCCATTAAATTTAAAAACAGGGCCTAAAACTAGATGATTATTGCCCTTATAGACTGAATATAATGGAGGTTCTCAGCTTAGACATTTCAAATCACAATTCATTAAGAAGGATGATGCTTTTAAGACCAAGTTTAAAATTGAAAGAAATTGGCCAGTTGTCTAACACCTTTTTTTTGTTCCACACAATAAGTAATGAAAAGCTGTATGATTAATCCTGGAATCGTGTAAATATCAATAACGATTGGTACTTAAAGCTGCAATATTGGTAACCTATCGGACATGAAAGCTGTATTGGGACATCCATAAAAGATTTATAGTAAGACTTGGCAGAAACCTTTCTACAGGTTAACTCCATTCAGACTGCAAGACAGACAGCTGGACTTCATCTGGTAATGGTCATTTCTCTACAGTACCTCTGAAGTCCTTTAGTACCAGATTCTTCTGGTTAGAAAAAGAAGCCATGCTGTCACAGGACACCATCTCAGAACTGTCTAAGTGAGATTTTTTTTTTTAAACAACAGACAAATACACTGACTCGCATAAAAAAAAAAAAAAAAAAAAAACTGAAAAAAAAAAGTATTGAATCCTCCTTACCGTTGGTCAAACCCGATTGAGACAAGGGGCTGGGAGTATTTCTCTGAAATTATAAAAGAAGAACATTTATCACGAAGCGAAATAAAAAGACAATTCAAACAAAGGATCCTCATAGTCATATAATGTAAAACCAGATTAGAGTGTTTCTATTTGCATGATCAGTGCAAATAAAATCAGACATTACTATTAAAAATCCTGCTTTACAAAACAAAGTGAAAAAGAAATGGCAGCAATTTAACTCTTCTATTTACCACACAATTATAATGTCTGACAACACAGCAATAACACATAGTTAGAGCAGGTGAGGCTGTCAAGATACTGTAATTTAGGAATGAGTAAACTCACATGTCTCTCAGCACGACTGGGCAGCACCACGCTGGCTAGTGGGATGCTGACTGGTAATTTACTGGGATGGACTGTGCTCAGAGGGATGCTGATTGGAAGGCTGGTGATGCTGTCACCCTGAACAGATTGACTCTTCTCCTTACCGCCCTGGATAAAAACCAACACGATAGATTTATTTTCATCCACTAAAGTCCGTTTCTGACTAGTAATATTTCTATAGACAGAGTGATCTGAATTTTTCTTCTTGACACAAAGAGTGGCTTAAAAACGAAAATTGTATCAAGGTATTTCCTTTAGCTTTAGCCACCTAAAAATGAAGCCAAAGCTCTAATGCTTTAAAGGGATAGTTCGGTATTTTTGACATGAATCTGTATGGCATCCCCATCACCAGTGTCATGCAATCACACTGACTTACCCCTGGCAGCATCCTGTGAGCAGAGTTCTCGTCCAGCTTTGGTCAAGCCGAAAGTAGTCCGGCAGGTTTGCTAGACCCAGCGAAATAAAACGTTTCTCTTCCCAAAACATGATGTGTTCAAAAGAGTGATATTTTTGCATCCCAAAAACGTTGTAGTGGAAAAAGTCACACGTCGTTATCACTTGGTCCTATTTTCACTCTGTTCGTATCAGTGCGCGCCGTCATTCAGACAGCGAGCTCAACAACAGCCAGATGCATGTCTCCCTCCGCCTAGCTCCTAGCTGCATGCATCTGGCTGTTGTCAGGTTAGTAGGCCCTAGCTGTCTGAATGACGGCGCGCACTGATACGAACAGAGTGAAAATAGGACCAAGTGATAACGACGTGTGACTTTTTCCACTACAACGTTTTTGGGATGCAAAAATATCACTCTTTTGAACTCTTTTAACATAATGTTTTGGGAAGAGAAACGTTTTATTTCGCTGGCTCTAGCAAACCTGCCGGACTACTTTCGGCTTGACCAAAACTGGACGAGAACTCTGCTCACAGGACGCTGCCAGGGGTAAGTCAGTGTGATTGCATGACACTGGTGATGGGGATGCCATACAGATTCATGTCAAAAATACCGAACTATCCCTTTAATGAGATGGCATCATTTACAAGTGAGACAAACATTTTCTGCTCCAAGAGTTAAATTTGTTTACAGGCTGTGTTTGGATAAAGAGGTATAGGTTGGATATAGGCCTTTTCCCTGTCCTCTTCCTTTAATGATCGATTGTGACAAAGTCTAGAGGACATCTCACTTATTTGATCAGACACTAGAGGTAACATGAGATTTACATTTAACTGAGACTTTATTATACTATCAAGGCATCAATTCATATTTGGATAAATCCTGCACCAGTGAGAGAAATGTGTCAATACTGAAAAGCATCAAATAAATTATCAGTCAGATAAACTGAAAGGGGGAAAAAAAAAAATCAGTGATTACCCTGTCAGAGATTTTTCCATTACACTGAACATCAGATGCACCGGGAGAGGGACAGTTCTGCTTGGCTCCATGAGGGGAATTCACACCTCCAAGTTCCCTAAAAAAAAAAAAAAAAAAAATACAAAACAAAAGAAACATAAAAAAAAAAACAAAGAAAAAAAAAAAAAAAAAAAAGACAAGACAAGCAAAACAAAACAAAACAAAACAAAAAAACAAACAAAGAAGACTTTAGAAACTGGCCATCATCTTTCATATAGCCTTCTAGGAGAAGCCCACCTGTTCATCATTAAGCCCGATCCCCTCAGGTGAGCAGAGGCATTGGGGTCTTGGTTAAGGTGCCTCCGTAAGGCAATCTTGGCAGGAGATAAGCGAGTGTAGTCTGGTTGGGAAGAGTTCTGCTGCCTCTGTCGAGCCTCTGGGGTGCTGGCCCCCATCTCGTGGTCTGGAGAAATGGGAAGGTAGCGAGAAAGTTCCACTTTTGTGTTAACCCGGTCAAAACATGGCGAGCTGGTCCCATTGACTGAGAGCTCTGGGCTAATGCCATTTAGTGCTGGGGCCGAGGACATGCTGAGCTTGGATGAGTCCATATCTGCAGAACTGCGCGGCTCCAGACTCTTCCTATAGGGGGAGCTATCACGAGAGCTGTAGGATTTGAGCTGAAGCAGTTCCTGTTGCCTCTGACTTTTTTCCAGCTCCACAATGCTGATCTGTAAACGGACAGCAGAGGGAAGCATTACAAAGGAAAACAGGCGTTCATCAACAGCAGATACAGATAAGAACCACAGCTCAGGTAAAAACCGGTGGGATGTTTATGTGGATTCTTTTTGAAGAAACTTTATTTTAACGCTTTTTTATTTTAAAGTGAGAATTTAAATGCTTAAATGAAATATATTCAGTGATTAGCAACAAATGTGTAGTAATACCAGGTCTTAAGACGTTTGTTTTAGTTCAATGAGTTTGAAAAAGTTCTGACATTTTTTAAAATTAAACTGGTTATCTTTTGAGCTTTTTGATTTGCTCATTTTATATAAAATCAATTTAGTAGCCTTGAAGAGTAATTTTTTTTTAATGAATGCCTGGTCACATGAACATGGATTTACGAATAAATACATTTTAATTAATCAGGCAGATGAAAATAACTCCCATATTGAGGTGTGGTGTGTACCTGCAACTCCAAGCAGTGCTTCTGTTTCTCAGAAATCTGCCGGCGCAGAGCCTGCTTCTCCTTTAACAAACTCTCCAAGCACAAAGATCCCCAATCCAATTTCAGCTCCTCACATCGGGACTTCAGCTAAAAACAAGCAAAATCAGTTAGCAGTAGATTCTTTATTTTTTCCTCTGGCAAAGACAATCAGCTCCTCTAATTACACAGAGTGAAAATTGATCGTCTAAAAAGTTTTGGAAGTTCAAACAACTAGAACAGGGTCTCACCAGAAGCAGGCTGTGGTCCCTCAGTAAAGCCATGTCTCTCTCCAGCTGCTTAGTCTGCTCCTTCAGCTGACGGTTGTGGGCTGATATCTCCTTCTGAGCCTGGATGAGGTCCTCCACTGTCAGGGCTTTAACTCCAAGCTGTTCACAAACAGATCACATATTTAATCACAGAGTTTTCCATTATTTTCAAGTTTTCCTCCTAAAGATGATGGATCAAAGAGACCTCCCTATTATACCAATTACTGTGGAGAAACAACATTTCAAATATCTTCTCACCTCGTCCAGTTTGGTTTGAAAGAGTTGTTTAATCTTGTCCTTGTGAGACTGACAGACCAAATGAAGCTGCTCCGCCTGTCCTGATAAATCCCTGTGTTTATTCTGGAGGAAGAGAGCAAGGTAGAACCAAAACTGAGCTCCAAAGAAACACTGACATCTAAACCATTACTGTAGTAGTTAATGTTGACAGCAATGAAAACATGCAGAACATGTCCAATCACCTTCTCCTGCTCTAGAAGCTGCTGTATATTGGAGCGGTACTGAGGGGTCTTCATGTGAGCCATAAACTGGAGGTACTGGACTTTGATGTTATCTGGACAATGGAGATAGAAAAAAAAGATTAAAGAGTTATTTTATTCTTTTATTTGGTTTAGGAAATTCACACATGATTTACAACTACTCAACCTTGTTTTTAAGGCAAATTGTTGTTTTTTTATAGTGGATAATAGTAGTGTTTTAAAATAGCGTAGATACTTGATCTATTCTCAAAAAAAGGAACAAGAAAGGGAGTGATATAAAGGACCCGATATAAAGTTTTTATAACAGGTCCTTTCAGTAATATCAATTCTTGAAAAGGGCTGGTTGCAACTTTATCATTGGAAATTTTGATTTCTTATTTACCAAGACCACTGTTGTGTTATTATGACTTTACTTTTCTTTATCGACTTTAGCCACTTTGCACCCTTTTAATAATGAATACCAATATTTCATGAGCCACTATTCTCTTTAATGCAATTAAAAATAAAAAAGTTATGCATTATTGGCACCTGGAGGACAAATACATTGCCTGGAGTTTGATAAATATGACTTAAACAATAAAATTAGTGTGAATGATTGAAACTTTAGTTATAACAAGGTGAACAAGTTTAACTTTTTATGGTTAATAAAGAGATTTAAGCTCATATATTCTAACTATTCATACTGGAAATCTGAAGATTGAAATTAAGTTTTGTAAAGACGTCTTTATATGTATCTATAATAATTATTATCATAAATCTAGATGATAAATTCCCGTCTAATGTATGAATCATTGTGTTTCTGTCTGGAGTTAGCTTACCAAGTAGTTGTTGCAGACCCGGAGGAGTTGGGCTCAGCAGCAGCTGACTGGGATTATAGTGCTGGACCTTAGGAGGTAGCTGGTAAAAGGGGCTCTGAGGCGACCGATATGCATCTATAAACGAGAGCATTTACATATTTATATCTCATTACAGCTTATGTATTTTTTTCTGCTTAAAAGCATTCTTCATGCGCTGAAAAAGTGTGAGTCTACTGACCCTGAGGTGGCGCTGCAGAAAGGGTCTTTGCATGCAGCAGATCTAATGCGCTCTGATTTTTCTTATTCTTCTCCACAGCAGGGGTGGCTTTCTTGGGTCGACCACGTTTCTTATTGTTTAGCTTGCGACCTTTGGCTAACAGCCGGTTTCTCCTGGGCTTAGGAGTGGCTTTGACCACGGTCACCAAGCTAGGACGCTCTTCCTCACCACAAGAGTCCTGCTGCTGTGTAAAGACAAAGATTCATGTTATGTTCGCTACACTAGCTTAAGATTTACACATGAAAGTGTTTATAGAGAAGGAGACTTGATTTAAATTTACTGCATTGCCAACCTGCCTTGATATACATTCTATATGGTTGAGTATAAGCAATGCCGTGGGCTACTTTCACAGCTTTAACTTCTCACATAGTTTGGAGTTGCATTAATGTGTTTTTATGACATTGCATACTAATGTTAGAAAGTAGACCTTGTTAACTGTCTCTGATTGTAAAGTAAACTGTAGCTGCAGCTTAATGCAGCCACTCCTCCATACAAACCACTTTCTTAAAAGACTGGCTGCAAAATTGTTGACTTGATCTTAAGGAAACTTTAAGGTTTCATATCTGCAGCTATGAACTCATCAGAAATGGAGCTGATAACCTGCTTCATTTAATGCACAGGTGGCTGAGTGAAAACATTTGGACAATATAGAGGGTCTCCTGCACATGGCTCACCTTGTTTTGCTCCTTGGTTTTGGTAGGGGTGGTGTTATTGCTTTTGCTGTCCTTTGTGTCCTTTTGTTGACGACGTCTAGCTGCCTCTTGCTCCTCCTAACATAAAACCCAAAGGTTTAACAGTTTTATACAAAAATACAGATACAAAACCAACACACGTAGAAAGTAGAGAATAACTTACCCTGAGTTTAGGATTTTTTAGACTGGCAAAATAGTTTTCAAGCTGAAACAGAGGGACAATGTTGATACTGGATGAATATGCTGTCTTTAATTACATAGGTAATATTCAACACGATATAGATGTTTCTAGCAGTGTTTCTATAAGCTTTAAAAAAGGCAAGACCTGAATCACAACTAAAGCCAAGTAACCCAGTTATAAGCCTACAAAAACAGCTTTTTCCTAACCCTTATCAAGTCTTCTGAAGTTGCTGAAATGGCCAAAAAAGAGCTTTCTAATCAGAAATTGTGCCTGAAAACCATTGCATTCCCATGCCTTTTTTATTCTAACTAAATCATGACAAGTTTTTTTTTAACGACAGGCTCTTAACTGGCTTCAGTTCATCTTGGCTTTTAATGTATTATTTACTGCTTTAGTGGTAAGAGTTCAACTTCAACTTCTCTGCACTGCAATTACAAATGCCATGCTTACTATGGTGCGGTCTATGGTATGAAGATAGTAGGAAACAGGCTTTCCAGTCCATGATACCGAGCCCCTCAATGGAGACAGTTCCACCACGCGCATTATCGTGCCAATATCTGCAGCACAGAGAGGAACAGCGTCAGCCAAAAACAGGAAACAACAATTACAGAACAAATTAAGGGTTTGTGTAGAAATCTTACCGCTCAAGTTTCGACTGTTGATTCGAAAATTTAAAGGTGCAAAAGGTTTGGAGGACACAATTTTGCCTCCTGGAAAAAAAAAAAAAGAAACTTCAATACATTTATTTCATTAAACACCTCATCTCTATGCTGGATTGGAGACATAAAAGAAATTGGTGATTATAACGACAACCAAGACAATATTCACACATTGCATAAAACCAAAGAGGATTGTTGACATAAAATATAAACTAAACATAATCTGTTGTTGATATCTTAACTCACTTAGAGTTCCACTGGCCTATTTTTACCGTAAATTCTCTAATATTGGCCTGTATTCCAATAGCGGCCGGGACTCTAACATTGGCCGGTCTCGCTGTCAGAGGAGGTAAATAATGGCCGGTCTCTAATACAGGCCGGGGCTATAAACGTTTTTTCTGGGCATACCTCAACATTATACTTGTGGTAGTAAGTAACATACAAGTACCACAGCCCTGCGCTGCTGGACGACAGGCCCTGACTGCTGCCCGTCTGCGCGAGGAAGAGAACAGACACGCAGCAGAACATGAGGAGCGCGAGTGATGAGGAGATTATAGGGAGAGATGAAGAGGAGGAGAAAAACTGAGGAGGAGAATTAAACAGAATTGGAGGATTTTTTTTTTTTTTTTTTTACTTCAAACCAAGCGAGACATGGTAACTGTACTTTTTCAATAAATGAACCTAGTGTTTTATAGGTTCAAATAGACACAAAATCTCATTTTTATTCATTCCACTGGTAGTCTGTTTTGCTCAAACAGAAATAGAGGCCTGTCTCTAATTCTGGCCTCTATCCAATAAAGGCCTGGACCGCAATGCACTTGAGTGAAATAAAGGCCCGGGCCTATATTAGAGAATTTACGGTATTTTATTCTATTTAACATCATACACATCCTTTAGTATCTCTGCCATTTTGAAAGACTAATTTTTGTCACAACGCAGGCACTAAGATAGTGTCCCTGTTGGAAGAAAACCAAGCGCCGCATAACCGCAAACCCTTGAGGAAATAAAATATAAACATCTAGTAACCGAATAGGATTTCACTCGCCTTACAAATCATAAGTATGTGTTGCTATATTTACTAGTATTTATTGACGGAATCGTAGACGAACATAGTGCCTAATGTAAACATGGTGTCGTTTTGAAGGTAGAGTAAATGGATTTAGCTTAATAAAAGATGTCATTGTAAACCTTTTCTAATTTTCATCTTTAATCTCCTACCCTTTGCCCAGATTGTTTCTAATACTCTAAGCGGCTTTATCTGAATTGCAGTTTTGTGGAAGAAGTAAAACATATAAATACATAAAAAAAAACTAAAATATCAGAGACCTGGTCTACCAGCGTATAGCTGTGACCTCCACTTTTAGACAATAAAAAAAAATATGTATATACATTTAAAAAAATCAAAAATTGCGATTTATACAAAAATCACACACAACTTATTAGACACATTCTATCTAAGCAACAATATTATCCTGTTTGTGGCCACAGAACCATTCTTATGCATAGTTTTAGCATCTACAACAGACAAACATACTAAAAGACAGTCTAGTTTAGTGTCTACAGGTGCATAAAATCTTTTATAGATTAATGCTGAGTCAGCCCAGATAGCTTTACCAAAAGCCCCGATCAGAGCAGGATTACACAGGGCATGGGCTTAGAAACCATTTCTGGTAAAATAAATTAACTTACCCCTTCTTCACATCGTTCTAATCTGATGTCAAAATCCTTCTCATCGCAAGAACCAAAACCTTGAAGATCTTCCTACTTACTGCTCTCCAGAACCACTGATAATGAAATGCTCTACTGTTACCCCGGGAAGTTATCGCAAACTGTATTTTAGAGTAATAACCACGTGTTAAGTCTCTGAAAAAAGATCTGATATTTTGTTTAATCGATAGCAAACGTGGGCATAGTTGAAGTAGGGGTGTCAGGCTTTTGCTGGCTCGCACTTGGCTATGTAATATCTTCTGGGCTTTCCGATGGTATTTTCAGTATAATTGCACAGATATTAAGAAATAAATGTTGAGAAACGTTGCGTTTGGAAGCGCTGGCTCATCATTGTCCTCAGAGTATTAAATGACTACGTACCTTCCTTCATGTTAGCAAAGCGCTCCTTCAGCTGGTGATCTACTTCTGGACCAAAGGCAAAGTTATTCACAAAAATAATACTGGAAAATAGACAGAGAAGTAGATGTTTTAGTATTTTTGTTCAGACATACAAACAAAACAAAAAAAGTTACATTTGTTCATTCAAGAAAAAGATTTTAGGAAATCAATATTTCCTAAAATCTATTAACAGTGAATGAAAAACAATGTTGACTTCCCCAGATTTCTGAGTACAGTCACAGTCAAATCTACTTTAATATCACACTGATAATAGGTTATTTTTAACCTAATGAACCATAGAAAGGGGAGAAGGAAAAGCAGTTAGGTTATATAAACTAAAGAAAATTAAACATGTTCAGTCTAACATCTGCTGGCCTCATGCAATCATTCATGTATATAAACTTAAACAATTACAGATTTAACCAACGATAAAATATTAAAATAATATCTAAAAAAAAATTATTGTGTGTAATGGTAATATTCTATCTCAGTGATCTCAGTCCCTAACCTTTTAAAAACCTGAAATCAACATAAAAGGATGAAATTTAACTTAATTTGAATAAATGAAATCCGTGTGTGAAACTGTCGTTTAGAGTGCTACCTTGTGTTGGCTATCCTTTCTTTCCACTCTTCAGACAGAAAGTCCCCTTTCTCCAGCTGAAAACACAGAAAAATGACTGAACCATCTGAAAAAAAACTAACAGGTTGGTGAAAAACTCTAACCCTGTAGATGTGAAGAGTGAGCTTACTGTGTACTCCCCGTGTTTCTTCCCGTACCATCTCATCCACTTTTTAAACTCTTTATCCATGGTCTGAAAAAAAAAAAAAAACATGAGTCCATTAATCTCCAATGTTTTAGACAAAATAAAACAATAATTTACAGACATAATACATGATTCTGAGATTCGATATTCTGTTAATAGATGTCAGTTTGGGAGGCTGACAGTTCAAAATTTTTGATTTATTCAGAATTCACTGTATAGCAAGCAGATGTTAGAATGAGGACTTAACTCATTGTTTTAAAAATAATTATTTTATCCCCAAACCAAGAGAAAACATCTGTTAAATCGTTTTGGAGAATCGTAGCGGATAGAGTCTTTAATATACATTTCTGAACACAATCAACAGTGGATGTTTGTGAACGATTCCCAAAACAAATTAGCTAATTTCTCACTTGAGAACAGGAAGCCCCGGTCACACCTTGATGATTTAGACCCGTCATCTGATAAGTCGTGGTGTCCAGCTTATCAAAAAGCTATGAGTAACGTGTGAATAACTTATGCATAACTTATCAAGAACTTATCTACAACTCATATCAACGTATTTAACATGTTCCAGACGACCGCTGAACGTATTTCTAACTTACAGCTACGGTATAATGGGCGTATTGGTAGCGTATTGGTATAAAGGGGGTTCACAGGAGTAAACAGTCAGCACTCCTCCAGACTTCATCCCCATCATAGGGTGAGCGAGAGGAGTGTAATGGATCCTCCCTGCGTTCACGCACCCGGCCGTTAGCAACAAACTCCTAGCAGACATGATGCTGAATCTGCTGTGACTGCAAATTTTCTTTTTTCTTTTTATTTATTCTTTTTTTTTTCTCGGGGTGGTAAACAGTAGCTAGCAACCACAATCAAATAAATCTTTTTATGCAGGCCGGGCGCCTCCGGGCGCATTGCTGCCCTCCCTCAGCACACTAGATTGTGCAACATTTATGGGCACTGCGCTGCTGTTCATTATTCTTAAGTTAGGCTGTCGTTGGACATAAGTTCTGGTCTTGTTATGAATACTCTATGTATATGCCCAAAATTTTAAAAATACATCGAAAGTTCAGCGTATGCTAGTGTTTCAGGAGATTCTGGGAAGTCAGGCATATACTGTCTAAATCAGCAAGGTGTGACGGGGCCGTAAACAGCTAGGTTCATTAACACCACCAGTTGATGGGGAAATATATATAGTGTTTAACAATCTATCAGCTGTGGGAACAGGTTTATGCTGAGCTCTGACCTCCCAAAGATCCATAATGGGTGACATCAAAAACAAACAGCAGGAAGATAATAGAGTGAGCGTGTGTAATTCTGACACCAATCTGATGCTTTATTCTTCTTTAACTACAATGATTTTACGTCTTAGCAATAAATCAAACAATTAATTAACCATAGCAAGTTCTTTACAGACATCCATAAACCTGCCTCTAGCTTTTTATAAAAAGTTTTTTCTCTGGCCCATTTCCGAGTTGTTACCTTGAAGGAACCAGTTTTCCACAGTTTTTGATGGAATGAAACATAAGGAACTGGACCAAACAAACAATGGTGCTAGAGCACTTTGGAAGAAAATAACCTATGAAGCCTGTATCTAAGCAAATAATATAAAATCAAGCAGAAGGGAAAAAATATGGTTGAAATGTTCATAAGCAAGCCTTGAAAGGATGGTAACACAAACAATAATTTCTATAGCACGGGGAAACCTCAGAGGGGGTGGACCGAGGCTATAATAATCACCACATACAGATATAACCAGGACATGGTAAAGAAAAACATCTCCCGCATCCTGCTTAGCTAAACATGAGCCGGAAACAACAGATATGTCATCAGGTAACATTTTTCGATTACCGGTACCAACTTCCCTTTTTCAGATTAGGGCAAATTTTAATTTGGAAATCAGTCCCAGAGTCAGAGACAAGAGTAGAGAATCACACAATTTTAGTTGCTTAGAGTCCATTAGAAGATTCTAGTCAGTAACGATAATGTACATTATCCGGTGTTGCTTCTACCAGGAGTTTTTAACAGCTTGTTATCATTTCATCTGATACAACACTGAGACAGGAACTCATGTTTAGTGCATGAACACACTTCTCATTCTGTAACAGATCTACTTCTTATGGATCTACTGCTATACTGCACTTTTCTCAGAAAGTTAATTATAGGTTTTAGCTCTGAAATAAAAAAGAGCTAAATTAAAAGACATTAAAATATGTGATATTTTGAGAAACAAAGCTTTATAATTGGAGCTTTACCTTTTGAATTAAAATCTATCACCAACTAACTTATTACAATGAGAAGCATTTCGGCCACAGTTCTGCTGCTTATATAAACAGTAAACAAACAGTAAATAGCAGTTACCTCTGCATAAGTGGATGGAATGTCTGCTTTCTCTACACCATAGTAGTGTTTACAGTTTGTTGCTGCTGCAACCTGCAGTACCACCTGCCCTACTCCTGTAAACAAGACAATTCAAGGTGTTAGCAAAGGTTCAGGCTGCTCATTATACATGAAATAATATCAAAGGTGGAAAACCAACCACTGCCAAGGTCAACAAATGTGTCTTCTTCCATCATTTCCATCTCGTCAATGATCTGAGCCACGAGGTCGAATGAGGTCTCCCCATAAACCTCAGGGGAGAAGGGTTCATAGTTGTTCAGCTTCTCGGGGTCAGTCACTGAGTGGTTGTACACCTGCTGTAGGATATGTCTCAGCAGCCCATTGGAGGGACGTTTGTTTAGCTTCATGGGCTGGGTGGTCCCCTTCCACTGCAACGAGATTTTTATCTCATTACTGCATCAATTATCTCAGACATCACTTTAAAGAATATGTAATTAACATGGAAGTAAAAACACAGAATTAAAAGAAACACATTTAGGTGATTTCTAAACAAAGTAAAGACAAACAAAGAACAAATACTTAAAAAACAGGATGTTTTTTCTCTAATATTTGAAAGCTTGAATAAACATTGATTGAAAAACACATCAGATAATACTCATTTATCGCCAAGACCGAAAGAAAGGATAACACATAGACCCATAATTCCCCACCTGCTTGTGACTAATACTTTCACTCCACCTACAGAGGAGTGAGAAAGCTCCTGTGTGTGGACTCACCAGCTGGTGGATGCTGTCAATAGCCCTGTTGTACTTGTCACAAAGTCTCTGCATACTCTCAAAGCTGAAAGAACAACATCAATGAGATAGTCAGCATATGATGGAGAGATCATAAAGTTCACCTCAGCCTCTCTTCTGATGTTTGGTATTTCATGTTTCTTTCTTTCAACATAAATTCTGAATGTGACGCAATCCAGGACTAACCTCTTTGTATCATAATCGATGAGCACATAATTTTCCATGGCCAGTTTGAGGTCAGGGATTTCCTCACACACCCACCTAGAGGAAAAAAAAAAAAAAAAAAAAAACACCCACACAAGATAATCACTTAATTGATCGTGACATCTGACATGATCAAGAGAGTGTGGAGTATTCTGTGGGTGGGGTGGGAGTCTGGTGGTGATGTTACTTACCGAATGGTCTCGATGATTTCATGAGCAGCATCATGGTGTTTATCCTGAAATGAGACAGGGACAAGGCGTATTTAAACCACGAACATAACAAATGACTCAACCAGAGGCTGTACATTTAATAGAATCATGAGTTGCTAACATTAAAACAAGCAGAAAACAATCAAAAGCTCAAGAAACAATGATCTAAACAAAAATAAGGGCATTCATTATATAAAACATGGGAAGTTGATTATAGCTTTTTGCAACTAGAGTGAAATGCCCACAACAACCATTAGGTCCGATTCATCCTCTCATTACAGAAACTCCTAACAGAAAACACGGCCACATCAGACATAACTAAAAAGTTCCTGAGGGCTTTATTCCCCTGAAATTCTAAGGCGTCCCCCCCTAACCCGAGTTATAAATGTGGAATGGCTCAACAAAAACAAAACCCAAAGCTGCACAAACAATGCTCAGAAAATCAAAGCTGTTAGCCTGATAAACCAGACTAAATGGAAGATGAAAGGTGTTATTTAGTCTGGCCCCGATGAATGAGACGTCGGAGAATTGTAAATGAGAACAACCCGTTGTTTTTCAAACCGCTGTCTGTGCCTATTAGTCAACACTCTGACCAATGAACGCAACTGACTGTGACGTAGTAAGCCCGACAGGAAGCCTGTGGGGCAGTGTAAACAAACAGCCTGTCTATAAAACGGCAAATACGTCCTTTTTAAAAATGGATGAGCGTAGAGCCTCTTCCTGCTCACATTTCAATGAAAAACCCCAAATCTGATTCCAAAGCCGAGTCAAAAATTGTCATCAGAGCCAGCGGTCCTTCACACACGACTATGCCGAGAGAGGGCCGCTGCAGACGGGCTGCAGTTAGCCTCGGAGGCCCACTGGTCGACACAGTCCTCTCAACACGGAAATATTGTTTTTAAATTACGCATTAAATCGGTAAATGGACCATATAGTGAAGCTTTAAAGTATAATATTCTTGTCTCAAATTTTCTTAAAACATACTTTTATTAGAAAACAGCAAGAAAAAGAGAGCTTTTAACTTTCAATGGAGCTCATCATTGAAAGCGGGGGCTGCCGCAGTGCATGCTACTGTTGTGCTTTCTCCAGCTTTGTTGTCATGCCCTCAAAACCCGCTTTGCATCCAGACATTCAAACCACATCTCTGCGTTGTGATTGGCCCGCCAGATTTAGGGCCCGGGGCACTGAGGCTAGACCAACTCGCAGGATAAAATGATTTTGGCCGCTTGTGAGTGTAGCTAGTTTACTAGGCTATAAAGCTGTACCTTTCCCAGCCTAAAAGCCTGTTTGTCAAAGTATGAAAGGCTCTGATTGGTTGCTTTATTTTCACTCTTAACTCGTTATAAGAATGTTAATCAAAATAATTATAGAGGCACGTCAGCCATGGAAAGGTCAAATTCTATCTGTACAATACTGGTTTATCTTGGTGGCTGGCATGTGAACCTTTTGGCAATACCGCCACATACTAGGCTCAAGTCTGTGCATCAATGTTATCAGATGGCCTAAAAGGTGTGATTGAAAAGCTCATCTTTTCTACACGTTTTATTTTTTCTGTAAATACAAGGATATGATCCCGAACCCCAACACTTATATACATGTCAATCACAACCAGACTGTAGACTGGTTAAAACGCTGTTTGGCATTCTTGTAAATCTAGTGTAAACATTTTGTAACTCTTTGCAAAACCCACTAATGTGATGTTTAGGACCCTGCAGCTGCATACACAGTTAAAACAATGTGAGGCCTAAACTCATTTCAAGCCATCCTGTCTGGGATTACTTACACTGTTAAAAGACAAATGAAATGTAGAATGCATTTTATGTGGTTCTATTTGTAAATATAAAAACTCCATATACTCCCCAAGCTATCACATAAATCAGCCCTCCTTTTAGCCGTGCTGCATGGTGGAGCAGCGTCAACTTCTCCGCCATTCTAACGATAATAATAACATGATAGAAAAAGACTATATAGCAAAGAGACAGCAATAACATCCCACTGAGAACCATCTGTTGATAAGCACCGTTTACAGCACAAAGTATCTCTCACCACTGATTGTTAGATTATACTAAAACCAGACCCACACCCATCACAATCCACTTTATCGAAACTAAGTGGTAAATGCTCAGCCAGCATATCAGTGACATACCCTGTATTTTAACAATAGTCTAACATTTCTGCTCATTGAAAATGTAAAGGGTTTCACAGATTTTATTTGGTAACAATACATTACTGAAAATATATTGAATAATTTTACTGAATAAATATTAATATTATTCAGCAGGTTTCTGGGTTTTTTTAACACAGAAAACTTTGTTTATTTAGTATTTAATACAGCTAGCACAACAAATTGTTAAACTATAATGGTTTAAAATAACTTTTAACTCAGCATATTATAAAAGAAAATTAACCCTTCGTGTTACGGAAAGATCCAGACGAGAAAACGCTTGAAGGGCTTTGGAGAAAATTGCCAATTATCAAGTACTTGTTATTGTATCAATATTGTGAACTATAGATGACCTGATTTATAGACAATTTGTCTATAAATCATGTCATCTATAGAAAATCTGAAGAAAATCTAAATTTTCTAGATTTTCTTCAGTCTAAATGATAAATGACTAAGAGGGCTGTAATTTACGGGCTGCCACAGAGGGGTGGACAAAAATAAATATGAGAGCCTAAGCTGACAAAATATAGCTAGGGGTAAATGAAAAGGTCCCATAAGGATAACAAGGGGTGGGGAAGCAAACAGGATGAAACTAGATGAACCAGATCAATAATTCAGTGCTTTTGCTTGGTTCTAACACCACATTTAATTCATCGGCCATAAGAGCGAGCAATAATAATATCAAAACACAGGCAGCAAAGTGTTCATACTCTGTGGGTGAGATAACTAATCTTAACTACTGTGAGTGTGGGTGGAACATGTTTTTTTTTAAAGTTCCTTGATTAGCAGCAACACTATTGACAAGGTTAAAAACCCATACATGTACACTTCACTGAAACACGTTTAATTCAGATATGTGTGCAAGCATTTTTACTTGATGAAAGTAGCAGAACATGATCACAGATCAACTACTTCTTCCCTGCAGAGACCTGACCATATGGACAACAGAAAAGGGAGAGGGAAGAGGAAGCCTTTCCCTTTGAAAACAGGAGGAGAGGTGCTGACCCCATATTTTCTATCCACACGAATCAGCTGCTCCTAAGATATAGACAAACCAGGATATGAAATTCCTGAAATTCTTTGTTTTAGTTTATCCATACGGAATGCCGGTAAGCTGGGCAATAAAAACAACAAAGGCTATTGTGAAAGACATCTGATAAAAATTTATAAAAAAACATGTTCAATAAAATGTTTTATAATTTCAATGAACTCCAATCCAGAAAGCAACAACATTCTGGAAGTAGGAGGCAGATAAAATGATTTGATCTGTTAACCTTTTATGGTCAAGCTAAGCAGAGTTGGTAGTCGGTCTGACCTAATTTTAAAGGTTACACTTAAAGAAGCTAACAGCAACAATCTAAATTAGCTAAAATAGCGACAAAAATAAACAAAAATTGTTATTTTTATTGACTGATTTGATTGGCTTACGTTTTGAAACATTTTTCAGCCATAATCACGCAACCCTAGCTGTATTGTGGAAGCAAAAATGTGAGTAACTTTGTGACCCAAAAACCTCTTTCAGTTTGGTTTGATAACGAAATAAAAGGACTTACTGAGGAAACTGAAAGAACTAGAATAAGAAGATCAAATGTAGCGTGGGTGGAGAGACAAACTACAGACAAAGAGACCCTACTCAGGCATTCGGAGAAATTCAGCACTTTTCAGTCAGTGTTGACTGTCTCACTATAGTTACTATAAATGTGTACTTACACCTGTAAAAGCACCAAACAACTGCTGGCAGCTTCACTTTTTTTTTTTTTGTAATGACTGAACTGTTCCAGCAGCTGAAGGAGTTTTGTTTTCTAAGAAAAAAAATTAATAATATCAAAAGGGAAGAGAAAAGTATAAATAAAAAAAAAACAAAAAAACTTAATTGTTCTTAATTATGAGGATGCCTTAAAAAACTACAGATTTAGACATGCTCCCTGAGTCATGTGTTGCGCTCAGTTTTAAACAAATTAGTCTACCGTTCTTTTTGAGCAGTGTAAAAAATGGCATCACAACCAACAAAGTAATTAGTTTGTCTAGAAAATCTTTGATTTGACAAATATTCTGCTTCCTACGTCAAAGAATCTGAAATTACGAGTGTAATTTGGTGGCTATATGCAGCTAAAAGCTTGTTTCCACCAAATCTCCGGTCTTCAAACAAAACTGTTCAAATAGGAGAAATGGCAAAAGGTTCAGCAGAGCTGACTTGTCATTAAAAATTATAGTAGGCTTTTCGTTTATTGTTATCGCCAGTTCTAGTCATGATAATTTTATTTTCTAAACAATGAACTAGAATTAATGATGATAAAACAAAAATGGGTTTGGCTATTTCAAAGAATAAGATTAAATGTGGTTATTACTGGATGTTTAGTGATATAAATCACACTTCTTCATGTAATGTGCCACGAAGAAGCCCATTTTAAATGTGGATATTTTTTTAAGCGTAATGTATGTGATTGTGAGGCTATGATTGCTGTGCCATGCTTTCAAAGCTCTATAGCTACCTAAGAAGTGTATTTATTGTCAATTTAGTACAATAAGATATCGCAATAAGATTTTAAGGCCCAGCCCTAAGTGATAGTGATCAAAGCAAAATAATACACTTATAAAACTGGAGAGAAACATTTTCTAAGAGTTTTGTCTGCCAATGGTTAACCAGACCCATATGGAAATGTGTCAGGGATTCTGTAAAGAGGAGGTCAGTGCTGGCATTTTAATTTCTTATGTTTAAAACAAGCTTTATTATGAAGGGAAAAAAAAGAATATTATACCAGCTTGAATTAAAGCTGTGAAAGCTTGGTATGAAATAAGCCATGGAAAAACTAAATACATATGGTATAGAGAGATGGCATCCAATGCAGGAATACATTTTTTTCAGGATAAATGAAAATGGGAGTCATTGTGAACCTTTTAGGCAATAATTTCTCTGTTGTTCTATAACACATTTAGGTGTATGAAACTGCTGCTTGGGAGGACTTTGAGCTTTTTGTAAACCTCATTAGTCATAGGAACATTTTTTTACTACTAAAAAAAATGTGGTTTGGAGAGATGATTGAAGATAACACATTTTGCTGCTTCTTTATCAGAAATTGATCGGATATCAGCCCCCCAAGAAGCCAACACTGGACTACATCAGCCTACGTCTGAAAATCACAGATGTAAAAAAGCTGATAGAAACACTCTGCTTCTGTTTCAAGTAACTGTAACCCATGGGTTGATAATAAATGGGTCAGTTGTTCTCATATTTACTGTTGACTAGTGTTCCTCTGTTTAGATAATATCACTTGATCGAGCCTTTTCTAAAATTCCACATTACAAAATTAGCAATAAAAGTGTGTATGATTGGTGATGGTATCAAATTAATACTAAAAACTGAAATATCGATAGAGCAGAACATCCCTACCATTTACTCTCATATATTCAGAGCCTTTTGGGGATGCAACAGAATAACAGATTATAACAGATAATCTGAAATAAGTGTTACAAATAGAAAACCTCTTTTTTTGTTGACTCTAGCAATGAATAGATCAACAGGATTTGTTTATGAAAACAGTCAGCATACACTGTATATGCCCTTAGGAAACAATCAGGCAGTTGCATTTCTCTGCTGAGGAAGGAATTCATTAACTAATAGATCATCCAATTTATTGCAGTCCAGTTCATACTGGGTTTTGCATTATCAAAGAATTTTTGCAATTTAGATCAATCCAGTTCATTAGAACACGACCTACTCTGCAGCAATCTTCAAACAGTTGGTTGCTGCTCTCTTTCTGAAAAAAAAAAAAAAAGGTTGACCCCTAGCTCCCACACGGAAAACCTGTGTATGCAGCTGAAGAACACCAGCTGTCGAATTAACTTTTAAATGATCTTTAAAAAAAGAAAAGGTTTCAAAAAGGGTAAAAAATAAATTGAAATATTTTTGATGCATGCAGGAAATCTAAAATTAGAAGTGTTAGCAGGATCCGAGTTTTTTTGTAGGAGGAACAGCACTCAGGTTTCATCCAGCATGCAGCCAGTCTGAGCCTGTTCCCTGTGCTGACCCACTGACCCACTTTTTGTCTCCTGTTCCAACACATTGGCAAGGAGAGCAAGAAAATATGGGATATTCAAAGAAGGAATGAGAGAAATGCAACAAAAAAATGCAAAGTTTATAAGGCAGAGCTGAGGAGCTACAGAAAGGCTGAGAGGTTGTTTTTAGATATTGCGGTCTGGCAAAGCAGCTACAGTCAAGAGCTAAGAGCCAGGAATTCCCAGCTTCCCGTTCAATAATGCCCGCCTCCACTATGCAAACTTCTGCCAAACCCCAAAAAATGCATGCACGCGCAAAAATTTATAGTAGCTATTGACATCTACATACTAGATGTGCATGTTAGGGAGCACAAAATCGAAACAGTATCAAGCTAGGTGCAAGCTCCGTGTTTAAAAAGGCAACAGTCTAAAAGCTTTCCTGAAAAAAGTTGCTTTGCAAAGTAAATTTTAAATCTTATGTTCAGGAAGCTATGCAATGCAAAGACATGAAAATGACTTAGTGCACGAGAGAAGAGCAGTGTGGGGGGAGGTCACCTGCTAAAATGAGGACAGCACACAGCAACACCAGCAGCAGGCTGGTGCTAAAAATAAACATGCTCTGACAAAGCAGAGAGAGCGAGACAAAAAGAACAGAAGACAGTCTCAGCTGTGGTGCTGACGGATGCATGTACGATTCTGCCTGTGCACGCAAAGACTTCAGTCAATCTCCTGTCACATCACAGTGACGCACAGTGGGCATGGGGGCTTTACACGACACAATTCCACTTTGTATCTCAGCAGCCAAAAACAAATGACTAAGACAGGCTTACACATGAATACTACACCGACTACCTACCACACACAGCACGGTCCGTCAACAAGCACATTTGAATACATTGAGCTAATGAGCACCTCTTCTGTCACCACTGACACGCCTACAAATATGAGGAACTTAAATGACATCTAAGGGTTGGTTTCACACATTAAATACAGAATTAATTTATGTAAAAATCTGCATGAATATTTTGTAGGGGGTTGGGGATGTTGAGTAGCCAACAAGAGAAGTACTGTCTAAAAGCAATGAGGCACTGGTGTCTCTTAAGTGTTGGCTGAGGCCTCTTAACGCCTCCACCCAAAACCAGATGGAGCAGGAACTGCAACTTCAGAGGTGGTGGACTTCATATGGAAGCACTTACAAATGCACACATATGGGGGTTTAGTGAACAAAGAAAAAAAGAAACTAGGGTTAGACAGGATGAACCAGCTAGCTTAGCAAAAACATGCTTATCTGCCCTTAGTTCTCACCATGCATCTTGTTGTTCAACAAGCTGAGCATGAAACAGTCGGCAATTTGTTTGTTGTTAGTGAGATTAGCAGTCTCAAATTAAGTGGACGTGGAACATGTTATTACAGAAGAGTCTATTTCAGTCAACATGAACAAACTGGATTACATAAAGGCTTATAAGAACATTGATTGCCTAAAACTCTACATACCAGAGTTAGTAGTTATATACTAATAATATAGAATCATCATCAGAAGAAGGAGGGAAGAGGAATGAAGAGTTATATTCTAAAACCAGAGGATGATCACTTGATCAGCTGTTTCTAATTCTACCCATGACGCTCATCTCAATATAAACAGCTATCACAATGATCAGACAGAGTAAATTCCTGGCATTCTCCATTCCCGTTCACGAGACTGTGCAAGTCTGTTTACCTGGAGGCAGCAACTGTGAGTGACTCAATAACCAAAACCACTCATTCAGTACATATTTTGATAACGAAATAAACGGACAAAATGACAAAACTGAAAGAACAAGACTGACGAGGTAGACTTCAGTGTGGGTGTAGTTTGTCTCAAAGAAACAAACTTCAAAGAAACCAAACTTAAGCATTCAGAGAAATTTGGTGCTATAATTATTATAAATGAGAACCTATGCCCCAAAGAAAAGAGGGGGAAAAAAACAGAAACCCCCACCACCACAGCTGTTATTGGGTTTGTTTTTTTCTTATTTTAAATGAAGGAGCTGCTATCAGCTTCAGACATGCACAAAGCTACAAGGAAGCCCAGCGGAGATAAAAGGCCTTCAACTATCATATCAAGAGCAACCAAATGAGACATCAACGTTCCTTAAGTTTGAAACAGAAAAGGTCATCAGCTATTACTCAAAGGAATGCTTTGCAGTTAAATAATGCAACAACAGCACCGATACATAAAAAAATGTACAGATCGGCCGAAACAGATTTTTCAAGGCTAATGCCAATATAGATTATTTTGAGATGAGTTTTACAGCTCCCTGGGGGGAAAGGTGCTTTAATTCACCATTAAGATTATAACAGACAACTTTTAATGGAATTTAAAATGATGCAGTAAAGAATAATAAAGAAATGTAAACACAAAATTAAACATGTAAAAAATAAAAGGAAACATTAAAAATGGATAGCAAATAGGGGGAGCAGCGACGCATCCTTATCACGTGATTTCAAGGCATGGCTGCTGGATGCACAAACGAATCAGCAACACATCGACTGATACCGATACAAGAAAAAAAATGCATCAGTAATATATATATATATATATATATATATATATATATATATATATATATATATAAATTGTTTATAGACATTAGAAAATAAGCATACATACACAGCCATACACACCACTCATTCATTTGATGGTTAGCTGACTGGGGGAGGGGTGTTTTGGCTAAAATACCACAACAAATGCAGAAGTCAATGGCTACAACTGGGTTGGTCTACACAGGATGTGCACGATCTATGTTTGTCAAACAATGTCACAAACTGGAAAATGGATATTAACATTAGATTAACATTACAACACGCATGCCCGTTAATGACACCACTTTAATACAAATGCATGCATATAAATAAATAAGTAATAAATACGGGAAACAGAGAATAGATACAAAAATCTTGATATAAAGAGACCAACAGGCCTGTTTCCGTAATTTTTTTTAACAATATTTTTGAACCAAGTGTTGACCTGAATACCACTGGTTACTAAACATCCACAATCTCGTCAGAAAAAGCACAAATATTAATCACATAATACAGCACGTGGCATTTTGTGTAATTCTAAAATGTAAAAGGAGAAAATTGTATCTGCAGCTGACAGTCTGCTGTTAACCAATTCCCCGGAGGAGTACTATCTTCTTCTGTTACCCAGCTAGCCAACGGCTAACAGAGCTAACAAAGACAACCTCATGAGGGTAAACAAAAATCTGTCCTTACTAGATGCTGAATGGTATCACTTACGTATACTGGTAACGGCCAGGGATAACCCGCGGGTTCCGCTCCAACCGGCGATTTGAGCTTGAGCTCCAGCTTTTCCCCCATTCTACACTCTGATAGAGAGCTAACTAGCTCCTAACTGCTCTGTTAGCCTCGGTTAGCGAGCGACTCACAACGGGAACATTTTGTGAGGAAAAAAAACGTCGAAAATTTGAAAAAACAAAAACGACTTCGACACTAGCCAAAGGAAGAGTACACACGCAATCCAGACAAACGTGTAAAGGAATCCGTTTCGTTTGTATATAATTAATAAATCGCCTTTTATGTGTTCACTGGTAGGAACATATCGTCCGCGTAGCCGCCATCTTGCCCGGCATGATAAATATGGCAGGAGGCCACTGGCACGAGAGGGCTGTGACGACAGCGCGTAGGCCAAACGAAGCAAGGAGCTCCGTACAACTGTTTCCAACCACACTTCGTGACGGACGTGACACTGCTATTATTTTCCATATAAATACCTAGACACTTTTTCTACGCAGAGCTGTGACATTACACAGTGTTGTCGCGAAAAAAAAAATCTTAAAACTAGCATGAAAATGTATCATTGCTTAACGATTCCATAATATATATATATATATATATATATATATATATATATATATATATATATATATATATATATATATATATATATATATATATATATATATATATATATATATATATATATATATATATATACACTCACTGGCCACTTTATTAGGTACACCTGTCCAACTGCTCGTTAACACTTAATTTCTAAGCAGCCAATCACATGGCGGCAACTCAGTGCATTTAGGCATGTAGACATGGTCAAGACAATCTCCTGCAGTTCAAACTGAGCATCAGTATGGGGAAGAAAGGTGATTTGAGTGACTTTGAACGTGGCATGATTGTTGGTGCCAGAAGGGCTGGTCTGAGTATTTCAGAAACAGCTGATCTACTGGGATTTTCACGCACAACCATCTCTAGGGTTTACAGAGAATGGTCCGAAAAAGAAAAAACATCCAGTGAGCGGCAGTTCTGTGGGCGGAAATGCCTTGTTGATGCCAGAGGTCAGAGGAGAATGGCCAGACTGGTTCGAGCTGATAGAAGGGCAACAGTGACTCAAATAACCACCCGTTACAACCAAGGTGGACAGAAAAGCATTTCTGAACGCATAGTGCGTCGAACTTTGAGGCAGATGGGCTACAGCAGCAGAAGACCACACCGGGTGCCACTCCTTTCAGCTAAGAACAGGAAACTGAGACTACAATTTGCACAAGCTCATTGAAATTGGACAATAGAAGATTGTAAAAATGTTGCCTGGTCAGATGAGTCTCGATTTCTGCTGCGACATTCGGATGGTAGGGTCAGAATTTGGCGTCTACAACATGAAAGCATGGATCCATCCTGCCTTGTATCAACGGTTCAGGCTGGTGGTGGTGGTGTCATGGTGTGGGGAATATTTTATTGGCACTCTTTGGGCCCCTTGGTACCAATTGAGCATCGTTGCAACGCCACAGCCTACCTGAGTATTGTTGCTGACCATGTCCATCCCTTTATGACCACAATGTACCTAACTTCTGATGGCTACTTTCAGCAGGATAATGCGCCATGTCATAAAGCTGGAATCATCTCAGACTGGTTTCTTGAACATGACAATGAGTTCACTGTACTCAAATGGCCTCCACAGTCACCAGATCTCAATCCAATAGAGCATCTTTGGGATGTGGTGGAACGGGAGATTCTCATCATGGATGTGCAGCCGACAAATCTGCGGCAACTGTGTGATGCCATCATGTCAATATGGACCAAACTCCCTGAGGAATGCTTCCAGCACCTTGTTGAATCTATGCCACGAAGAATTGAGGCAGTTCTGAAGGCAAAGGGGGGTCCAACCCGTTACTAGCATGGGGTACCTAATAAAGTGGCCGGTGAGTGTATATATATATATATATATATATATATATATATATATATTTTCAATTCAGTTTATTTACATAGCAGCAATTCAAAACACATGTCACTCAAGGCACTTTACAGTTCAGTAGATCTTACAGTCAGATTGATTCAACCAGTTGATTGCCTCATTGACTCAGATGCAATCCCTCACACTAAGCATGCTAGTAGCAACAGTGGAGAGGAAAATCTCCATTTGAACAGAAAGAAACGTCCAGCAGAACCAGGCTCAGTATGAGCGCCAATCTGCAGAGGCCGACTGGGGGTCAAGGAGACAGAAGCAGAGATACAAAAAGCAACTGTTAAAGGCGGCCCTGTCCAGGAAACACACAGCCAGGCAGACAAGCTCTGCACCAACTCCCATGTCAGAGGATGAAGAGAGCACATCCAGCCAGTCACAATCAGAGAAACAAGACTACACTGGAAAAACAGGCTGATCTCTAACATCTATAAACAAAGGTGTTGATGGCAGCAGCACAGCTGATATTTCTCTCCAGGGTGGTATCACAGCCAAACAGGAACAGAAGAGGCCAAGCTACTATGAGAAAAGGCAGAGAGAGCAGAACGTTACAGTTAAACTAATAGCGGAAGAATAGAGATAGAATAAAGCAAAATTATGAAATAGGGGTCCCTATGTCCTCCAGAAGTCTAAGCGTATAGCAACATAACTATAGAGATAGCTCAAGCTCATATATATATATATATATATGAAAATGTGTGCAATTAGTGTATATAATATTTAAAAAATCTAAAATGAATCACCTAACCCCTGTGTACTACTAATGCCATTCCCAATATCCAATATACACTATATTGCCAAAAGTATTTGCTCACCCATCCAAATTATTGGAATCAGGTGTTCCAATCACTTCCATGGCCACAGGTGTATAAATTCAAGCACCTAGGCATGCAGACTGTTTTTACAAACATTTGTGAAAGAATGGGTCGCTCTCAGGAGCTCAGTGAATTCCAGCGTGGAACTGTGATAGGATGCCACCTGTGCAACAAATCCAGTCGTGAAATTTCCTCGCTCCTAAATATTCCACAGTCAACTGTCAGCTGTATTATAAGAAAATGGAAGTGTTTGGGAACGACAGCAACTCAGCCACGAAGTGGTAGGCCACGTAAACTGACGGAGCGGGGTCAGCGGATGCTGACGCGCATAGTGCGAAGAGGTCGCCAACTTTCTGCAGAGTCAATCACTACAGACCTCCAAACTTCATGTGGCCTTCAGATTAGCTCAAGAACAGTGCGCAGAGAGCTTCATGGAATGGGTTTCCATGGTCGAGCAGCTGCATCCAAGCCATACATCACCAAGTGCAATGCAAAGCGTCGGATGCGGTGGTGTAAAGCACGCCGCCACTGGACTCTAGAGCAGTGGAGACGCGTTCTCTGGAGTGACGAATCGCGCTTCTCCATCTGGCAATCTGATGGACGGGTCTGGGTTTGGCGGTTGCCAGGAGAACGGTACTTGTCTGACTGCATTGTGCCAAGTGTAAAGTTTGGTGGAGGGGGGATTATGGTGTGAGGTTGTTTTTCAGGAGCTGGGCTTGGCCCCTTAGTTCCAGTGAAAGGAACTCTGAATGCTTCAGCATACCAAGACATTTTGGACAATTCCATGCTCCCAACTTTGTGGGAACAGTTTGGAGCTGGCCCCTTCCTCTTCCAACATGACTGTGCACCAGTGCACAAAGCAAGGTCCATAAAGACATGGATGACAGAGTCTGGTGTGGATGAACTTGACTGGCCTGCACAGAGTCCTGACCTCAACCCGATAGAACACCTTTGGGATGAATTAGAGCGGAGACTGAGAGCCAGGCCTTCTCGTCCAGCATCAGTGTGCGACCTCACAAATGCGCTTCTGGAAGAATGGTCAAAAATTCCCATAAACACACTCCTAAACCTTGTGGACAGCCTTCCCAGAAGAGTTGAAGCTGTTCTAGCTGCAAAGGGTGGACCGACGTCATATTGAACCCTATGGATTAGGAACGGGATGTCACTTAAGCTCATATGTGAGTCAAGGCAGGTGAGCAAATACTTTTGGCAATATAGTGTATTTCTCATTCATTTTAATCCAATCATATAGACAGATTCAGATTCAAAATACAATCTGACACAGTCATATTTATCATATTTTCAAAACAATACGGGCAGCTTCAGCTGATCATTTGTCAGTTGTTGAAAAGTTGTCCAAGTTAAGCCAGTTGCAAACAAATATATGAAAATGTTTTTGTTCACAGCAAAAGGGTAAAATTCTAATAAAATAAAGAAATCATACAATATTCCATACCAAGATTTAGTTTTTAAAATTTCTTTCAAAATTGCCTTTTAAAAAAAATAAATTCTAGAGATAGTCATTGACTTTAGAGCTTTAGAGCTTTTGACCTGACATCCCACATCATGAATCATTCTGAGCAAAGAAACATTAATCACCATGATCCTCCAGCTGATGAATAGGTATCAGAAGCTAGAATTATTCAGGGATGAGAGAGCCCAAAGCTATCAAGGAAATAAGTTTTTATTACTGGTCAGTAGATATGGAGTCCCGTACCGAACGAAATTGACATCTACTGTATAGTGTGACACATTTATTTAGGAAAAGCATTGACTTCACCCTTTTGAGCTGTTGCAGCTTAAAGCAGTAGCACACTCCCCACACTCATCAATTAGAACCAAGACACAGATTTGTCTTGTTTTTATTCCTTTAGACAATTTTAGATATAAACAACTTCTCCAAGGCTCAAAAACAAACAACAAAAAACCCCAAAAAGAACTGCAGATATGGAGTGTCTCTCATCCAGCTGTACAGCCATCATGACCTTTGTAAGACTCACTCATATTGTTGTTGCCTTTTTTTCCAGCCTCCAGAGGAAAGGTTGACTATGTCCCTAACACATCCCATCCACCAAACAGAGGCTATAAAAAATAAATAAGCATTTTCATGACCTGTTAGTGGTTGTAAGCTTAGACCTGGTCTGTGTGTCTGTGTGGCTTCTTCATCAGGCATCCTTTGAATAACACATGCTTAGCTTATCAGATATTCCCCCTTATTAAAGGTAAAATGCAGGCTAAGCATGTAATATTCAATCTATCCTATAAAATGCATGTATAGGTTCATTTCCACAATCTTTTCTTGAATCTGGGTCATTTTCAAGACCATAATTTATTTTAACTGCAGGAACATATCAGGCATGGGTACAGCAGAAGTCTACCATTAGAGGTGTAACTTTCTGAGTAAATCCTGAGCTCAAGTTAGAGCTTTGCACTGGGTGGATGCTAAGCATCTCTTTCCCAGTACTTCAGTCCAACCACCTCCCAGTTTTTATTCCTCCTGCATTTTTTATTGTCTGTTACTGCAGCCAGCAACTTTTGCTCAATACCAAAGTGTCTTACTATAGGAAGATGGATAGTAAATTA